AGGCAGCAGCTCTCCTGGGGGCATTCCCAGCCCGACCTGGGGGTGCTGGGGATTAAACCTAGAACCTTCTGCATGCAAGGCAGGTCCTCAACCAACTGAGCAATGGTCCCTCCCATCATTTGCAGCAGAGATTCTAATGGCTGTCTGACCCAAATGCCTGCAGACTGTCCCACCAGAGTGGTGCATGCTCTGGTTATCTCCCGCTTGGACTACTGCAATGTGCTCTACGTGGGGCTACCTTTGAAGGTGACCCAGAAACTGCAATTCATCCAGAATGTGGCAGCTAGACTGGTGACTGGGAGCGGCCGCCGAGACCATATAATACCTGTCCTGAGAGATCTGCATTGGCTCCCAGTACATTTCCGAGCACAATTCAAAGTGTTGGTGCTGACCTTGAAAGCCCTAAACGGCCTCGGTCCAGTATATCTGAAGGAGCGTCTCCACCCCCATCGTTCAGCCTGGACACTGAGGTCCAGCACCGAGGGCCTTCTGGCGGTTCCCTCATTGCAAGAAGTGAGGTTACAGTAACCAGGCACAGGGCCTTCTCAGTAGTGGCGCCCGCCCTGTGGAACGCCCTCCCTTCAGATGTGAAGGAAATAAGTAGCTATCTTATCTTTAAAAGACATCTGAAGGCAGCCCTGTTTAGGGAAGTTTTTAATATTTAATGCTGTATTGTTTTTAACACTTGGGGAAACTCAGCCAGATGGGCAGGGTATAAATAAATTATTATTATTATTATTATTATTATTATTATTATTATTATTAGGGGCAGCAAAGCTGAAGGCTCAGCCCCTCGAATCCCAACAGAAAACACCTCCCTCCCCCAAGCACACTGCCCCTGCCATTTGCACTCGGCTCATGCGCTGGAGCCCCTCCGGCCTTTTTCACAGGCACTCGCGAATAACAAGTTGGTCGCCGATTTCAGCGCCTTGTTTTACATATACGAACAAGGGTAATTAAAAGTGTCAGCGGCTGCCTGCCTGCGAGGCTGAGAAGCAAGACGTGGTGCCACCCGCCAGATTTGACAAGGCTCCTTGACAAAGCAATTAACCCCGTGCCCATTTCCACCCAGCCGGTTCCCTCATCCCACCCGCACGCCGGCAACTGCAGGCAGCGACTCCGAAAGCGAAGCAGCGCCCATGAACGGAGCATTATTCCTCCGTGAGGAAATTCTTTGGTTCAACCAGTTAAGAGTCAGGGTGGAGAGTGCAGTACCCGGCATCTGAGTACCTGAGCCCTGATGCACAGTTAGCAAGGCTGGCACCGAAGTTAGCATCACTGGGCATGCACCAAGGGCCAAGCACAAGCAGAGGCCTGATGCCAATCCCAGAAGCCTATTGGCCTGGTGCTACTTGCTGTTCCTGCCACTTGGAACAGGGATGGGAGACCTGTGGCTTGCCAAACATTACTAGACTACAACTCCCATCATCCCTGACCGTGCTGGCTAGGACAGATGGGAGCTGGAGGACCACAGGTTTCTCCCCATCCCCTGCTCTGTGCAGACTCTGTTAGAATTCCTGCTCCATGGTTGCAGTCATGGAATTGTTGTCTATCCCATGACGGTATATGTTTTGACTCCACAGAGTGGGAAGTGACGGAGACAGGATGTTTGTGTTCCTGTGTTCCATGAAGTGGCACTATTGTCCTTTGTTTTTTCACTCTTTGCTGTCTGATGCTAGAGAGAGGGGAAGCCTTGCTGCGGTGCTCCGTGTGTGTTTATATGTAAATAAAGTAGATTAGCCAAAATGCTGAGTTGCTGAGGTCTGTTACGCAAGCTGCGAAGACTCTGCGGATCCCTAAGTGTGCCGATGTCTGTTGGCATTGGTCGCTGTGATGTTCGGGCAGAAGAAAGCTTTTGAATCTCCCAAACGATCGACCAGGAGGAAGAGAACATGCCAGTCGGGCATGTGTCTCTGCCAGGGTCCTACTCGAGTGTAGGACGAGCTCATGACAGACTCCTCTGTCTGCTTCTTTCTAAGAGGAGCCATGGGGTCACCACGGAACAGTGCTAAAACCGGAGTCCTGCAGGCTCAATGTCGCTGCGGTTAGTATCCTGCCAGCATCCACACGAGGCGACTGGGCAGATCCGATCCTGCTGATCTCTCGCCATCTGACACGGTGTAACAAGGATGACAGAGTGTTTTGTGGGGATTAAAATAACATGCTGTTTCTAACAGTCCCGACGGCGCCACTTTGTTGCTCCACTTACCGAAGCACAAAACGATGAGCCTGGGAGATTCTGCTCTTCTCCTAAGAATGGCCTGCTGGATCCGGCCATTCAGCCACCTAGTCCGGCATCCTGTTCTCACAGTGGCCAGCCACATGCCTGTGTGGGAAACCAGAAAGCTGGTTTCAAGCACAAGAGCAACTCTCCCCTCCTGTGGTCTCCAGCAACTGGTATTCAGAATCATTGCTGTGGAGGCAGAGTATAGTCATCATGCCTTCTCCTCTGCAAATTTGTCCAGTCCTCTTTTAACGCTGTCCAAGTTGATGACCACCACTACCTCCGGCAGGAATGAGTTCCATAGTTTAACTCTGTGTGAAGAGGTCTTCTCTTGTAACACGGATAGCTCAGTTGGTTAGAGCATGATGCCGATAACGCCAAGGCTGCAGGTTCGATCCCCACATGGGACAGCTGCATATTCCTGCATCGAAGGGGGTTGGACTAGATGACCCTCAGGGTCCCTTCCAACTCTACAGTTCTATGCTCTGTTCTGAATCTTCCAACATTCAGCTTCATTGGATGGTCCACAAGTTCTAGTGTTAGGAGGGAGGATTTTTTTTTAATCTGTCCACTTTCTCCATGCCGTGCCTAATTTTATTTGCACAGGCGTTTTAAGTGTGGGGAGTGCACACTCTTCCTCTTGTTAAGAGGACCCGGTGCCTCCAGATGTTGTTGGTCTCTTCCTTTTTGGGAAGTCCACAAACAGGACCTGAGCTCAACAGCCACTCTCTCCTGCGCATGGGTGTTTGGGCTGCTCCCTCCAGATGTGGTCAGGGCAAAAGAATTGCCTTGCCCTGTCCTCAACAAAGAGACAGCACAAGGCAGAAGGAATCAGGTCCTTGGTTTCAGCACCACGGAGAGCTCAGAGAAAGTGTGTGGCTCCCAGAGAGAAGGGAACGCCTCTATTTAGAAAAGATATTTGCTCCTGAGAAGAGGGGGGTGCCTCTTGAAGAAGGGATGTGGAGGATCTCTAACTCCCATCAGCCCCAGCCAAGATGGTCATTAGCTCTGGTGATGATGGGAGTCACAGTCCCACAGCGCCTGCTTCCAAATTTTAAACACAACCACCTGAGGATTGAATCAGCCCTTAGATACATATAATTCAGAGCTGAATTCAAATGATTCAGAGGGGTGAAGTGTGCAAAAAGAGGTGGTTGCAGGGGAAAGAGGAGCATCAGATCAAGACAGCTTTTCGTGATAGAAAGGAACATTTCCTATCAACACAACAGCTCTCGATTGCTGTGGTTTTAAAAAAATATATATCCCAAAAACACCCCATAGTAATTTGCATAGAGTTTGGAGAAGGGGGGGATGGGGAAACAACCACCATGCAAATTGCAAAAAAAAAAAGTATGTCGGGTATTAAAAAGCCTTGAGATTGAATGGAGAGCAAAAGGTGGAGATCTAGAGAGAAAGAGCTATATGATTTTTTTATGAACAATAGCGTGATTTTTCTTAGCTGGCGAGGTTTGAATGGCCCCGCTCATTGTCAGGCAAAATGAATGACAAGCCGAAGGCCAAGAAGAACGGCTTCAGAGCCGCTATTAAAGGGCTCCATTATCCTGGATGGTTTTCAACAGAAGGTAGAAATAATCATCACAGGAGGAGCGTTGACGGGGGGAAAGTACGGGGCTATGAAAGATGTATTGTTAATGGCGTTAGGGTTGAGAAGATGGAGGGAAGGAGGGAGAGGAATGCAGAAACATGGAAGACCTTCAACCCCCTCAAAGTCATTTACGTTTCCTGCAGCACACAAGGTCTGTTCTTGGCGTCCCGGTCACAGGCCAATTGGGAGATGCCGCAATGTGGGGAAAAACGATCTCAAGTTTGGGGTCTGTTTCTGACAGCGGCTGGCGAGAGCCTGGAGACCGGTATCTGCAGGAAGCTGAAGTCACAGTGGATGGATGGAGCATCTCTGAGTTCAGAAGCCGGCTGCCATTGCAGGTCTGTTGCTTGTGGGGGGGGGTCATGGGGTGGAGAAGGCTGAAGCCTTCAAGCCCAGCTGGTGGGCAGCAGGGTAGTGGCAAATTCAGATGTGCAGTATCCTTTTGGTCTGAGGGTGACTTGCAGGGGATGGGGAACCTCAGGTCCTGGTACCAAATGTACCCCCCACAGGCCTCTCTACCTGGCCCTTGAACAAGCCCAGTAAGAGGTGTGTCCTGGGAAAGTTGGCACGGCCTGGAGAGAGTCCCAGGGGCCATATAGAAGAAGAAGAAGAAGAAGAAGAAGAAGAAGAAGAAGAAGAAGAAGAAGAAGAAGAAGAGGAGGAGGAGGAGGAGTTTGGATTTGATATCCCGCCTTTCACTCCCTTTAAGGAGTCTCAAAGCGGCTAACATTCTCCTTTCCCTTCCTCCCCCACAACAAACACTCTGTGAGGTGAGTGGGGCTGAGAGACTTCAAAGAAGTGTGACTGGCCCAAGGTCACCCAGCAGCTGCATGTGGAGGAGTGGGGAAGCGAACCCGGTTCCCCAGATTACGAGTCTATCGCTCTTAACCACTACACCACACTGGCTCTATATAGAGAGGGTTGGGGGGCTCATTTGGCCCTGGAGCATGAGATTCCCCACCTCCTCAGAACTAAAGTCCCAAACACTGCATCGTTTCCTCATTGGGGGGGGTACATCCCTCCCCTTTATCATTTTCCTTGCGCTTTTCTCAACGTTTTCCAAACCTACAGCATTCTTTTTGAGGTGACGCCACAGAGGCCCACCTGCTGCGGAAACTCCTCCTCAGCGGGCAAGCCACTTCTGCTCAGAAACCGAGAACACACACAGCAAACAGCACATTTGGAATTTTATTTTATTTTATTAAAAAAACAGCCTCCCACATGAGCGGAACACATTGTGTGCAACATACAGGCCAAACAAGGAATTTTGCAAAGAGAGAGGGGAAGCCAAGAGGGACACTTTTCGTCAGGGACGGATCCTCCCAACCCCAAACGAGCTGTAATGATTGTGACGGAATTCCTTAAGGGGCTGGATTTTGCCTTAAGAGCTTCCAGTTGCAGATCCCAATTGCAACACGCTTAATTGAGAAGGCATTCCCCATGGGGAGAAGGGGGCAAGTGAGACACAAGGGACTCCCACTTCACTTGCAGCCAATCCTCTTTCTCCTTTCCAAACTGCTGTCCTAAAAGCCTCCCAGTGATTGGGCGGAAGGCGGGATGAATCAGCTCAGAATCAGGCAACTCAGTTTGCCACATGGCACAGTTCCTCCCCCTCCAGCTATGGCTGCAGTGGCATTTAATTTAAAAAGGGTCTACCAGCCACTAACCTGGCTGCCGTCCGTCCATCCTAAATCCTAGACCCAGTGCGATGCCCATTCTCCACCAGGGACTGATACTCACTGCCTTTCCCAGGATGCAAAATATTTTTAGGCCTGTGCAAAGAGCTAAGCGTTGCAGCCACACCACACAGCTCCTCCTTCTCCCTAACCACTCAACAGAAGGACCCTCTTTCCAAGAGAAAGCCGTCCTAGTCAGCATCTCAGTACATGCAGTCAAAATTGCAGGGAACCCCAATTCCGAAAGGGCCAAAGGAGAGAGTTGGTCAAAGGAGTTCTCTTGGTTTCTTTGCAGGGGTCTCCTGCAGAAAAGGTTGTTCCTCGACTGCGCCGGTTCTTCATCTATCAGCAAGAGGAGCAAAACAAAACAGGAGGAGAAAAGCCACAGTCACATCACCTTCGGCACAGTGGCAAGCTCAGGTCTGTAAGGCTGGCGTGTGTCTTTGGTTCCCCACCCGCCCCAAAAGTCCCGGGTCGCACAGTCCAGCCCGGCTTCTGGGCAGCGGGTCGGTGTAGAGGAAACCTCTCAGGAAGGAGCTGGGCCCCCATCAACGCCGCGGGCTGGACAGAAGGCGTCTTTTCCCTTGGAAACAAAGGAAACAAAACATGATTTCAACACAGCCCCGTAAATGGGAAACCTTGACAACAAATCCTCCAGTTTGGGGATTTTCCTCTCTCTGGGTTCCTCATGAAAAAAAAGTCAGCATTTTCATGGAAATCTCTCCCAACACCATAGCTATCAACTTTCAGATTTGAAAATAAGGGATCAGCAGCCTCGAAAATAAGGGATCAGCAGCCTCACCTGTCCCGGGGACAGTCTACGGCAGGGGTCTGCAACCCGCGGCCCCGGAGCCGCATGTGGCTCTTTTACACCTTTGCCGTGGCTCCGGGGCGGATACTAGCGAGGGGAGGAGGCGCATTGTGCGCCCCGACACTCCCCACTGTGGCGGGCGCTGTACTGGCTGTGACGTCGCATGGGGGCGGTGCGTGCGTTAGTCACGCACCGTCCCGACGTCACCTTCCCGCCCGCTGTCAGATCGCGGCTCCGGAGATAAATTTGTTTTAAATGTCGCAAGGTTTTGTGGCTTCCAGGTTTTTTTTCCCTTCGGAAACGGGTCCAAGTGGCTCTTTTTGTCTTAAAGGTTGCAGACCCCTGGTCTACGGGATATCTAACAATCCGGGATAGCAGCGGGAAGCAGTGGGAAACGGCACTGAAATAAGGGAATTTCCCGCCAAAAAAAGGGACAGCTATGCCCAACACAGAAAGACAGAGAGAGAGAGAGAGTTTTGCAAACTATTTTCCCAAACGTAATGCCTTTCTTAGGTTATCTTTGCTAATATACACTGGGGTGGCCATGCCTCCTTTTACGAAGATGGAAAAGGCATATTTTGAGTGATGAACTATCCCAAAACGCAGAAAGGCTTTCCTCTTTGGGCAAGGTTTAATGTTCTCCCTTCAAATTTATCAGAAGGCAGATACAACAAGACCCCAAGGAACAATAGATGCTGCCCTTGTAGCAACGTTGAGGCAGAGTTCACCTTGCATGTCATTTTTTTAAACTGTAGTTTCTATCAAGGGGCTAGGAAAGTCCTAATATTCAGTCCCATTATTCAGTCCCTCCCTGGCTGCTCTTCTGAGTCTCTTATATATATATATATATATAAATTTTATTTATATCCCGCCCTCCCCAGCCGAAGCCGGGCTCAGGGCGGCTAACAACACTAAAATAGTGCAACATTATAAAACATCATAAGAATTAATTAAAATCAAAATTGATGGCAACCATAAACTAAAGTATTGTAAAGATTGCCAAAGGAGGGAGTCAGGCTGTGCCCTAACCAAAGGCCTGGTGGAACAGCTCTGTCTTGCAGGCCCTGCGGAAAGATGTCAAGTCCTGCAGGGCCCTTGTCTCTTGTGACAGAGCGTTCCACCAGGTTGGAGCCGCAGCCGAAAAAGCCCTGGCTCTAGTTGAGGCCAGCCTAACCTCTCTGTGGCCTGGGACCTTCAAGATGTTTTTATTTGAGGACCGTAAGTTCCTCTGTGGGGCATACCAGGAGAGGCGGTCCCGTAGATACGAGGGTCCTAGGCCGTGTAGGGCTTTGAAGGTTAAAACCAGCACCTTAAACCTGATCCTGTACTCCACCGGGAGCCAGTGCAGCTGGTATAGCACCGGATGAATGTGATCCCGCAGCGAAGACCCCGTAAGGAGTCTCGCTGCGGCATTCTGCACCCGCTGGAGTTTCTGGGTCAGTCTCAAGGGCAGCCCCACGTAGAGCGAGTTACAATAATCCAGTCTGGAGGTGACCGTCGCGTGGATCACAGTGGCTAGGTCAGGGCGAGAGAGGTAAGGAGCCAACTGCTTAGCTTGGCGGAGATGAAAGAATGCCGCCTTTGTTATAGCTGCAATCTGCGCCTCCATGGAGAGGGAGGTATCGAAGATTACACCCAAACTCTTAACGGACGGTGCTGGCACTAATTGCACCCCCGCAAGAGATGGGAGTTGCCCCCTCAATCCCATATCGTCCCGTCCCAGCCAGAGGACCTCTGTCTTCGAAGGATTTAACTTCAACCGGCTCCCACGTAACCATCCAGCCACAGCTTCCAAGCATCTGATCAGTGTGTCTGGGGCCGAGTCAGGATGGCCATCCATCAACAGATAGAGTTGGGTGTCATCAGCATACTGATGGCAGCCCAGCCCAAAACTCCGGACAAGCTGGGCGAGGGGGCGCATAAAGATGTTAAAAAGCATCGGGGAGAGAATCGCACCCTGAGGCACTCCACACACCAAGGAGTGGCGGGATGACAGTTCCCCCCCAAGCGCCACCCTCTGTCCCCGACCAGAGAGAAACGAGCGCAGCCATTGAAGGACTGTGCCCTGGATCCCCACGTCGGCGAGGCGGTGGTCCAGAAGTTCGTGATCAACCATGTCGAAAGCTGCTGACAGATCTAGAAGAATCAGCAGCCCCGACCCGCCTCGATCCAGCTGTCTACGAAGATCATCTGTTAGGGCGACCAGAGCCGTCTCGGTCCCATGACCAGCGCGGAAGCCGGACTGGAATGGATCCAGAGCCGATGTTTCGTCCAGAAACCTACCAAGCTGTTCAGCAACCGCTCTCTCAATCACCTTACCCAGGAATGGAAGATTCGAAACTGGGCGGTAATTGGATAGATCTAAGGGATCTAATGATGTTTTCTTTAAGAGCGGACGCACCACTGCCTCCTTCAGTTCCCCTGGGAATGTCCCGGTGCCAAGGACAAAATTGATGATATCCCCCAGGGGGGCCCGCACCTCGTCTGGACACGCTCTAATCAGCCAAGACGGGCACGGGTCGAGAGGACAAGTGGTGGGCTTTCCAGCTCGGAGGAGTCTGTCCACATCGGCTGGGGATATCCGGTCAAAGTGGTCCAATACTGGACCCGAGGACAGTCGAGGGGCCTCCAGTTCCTTTATTGTATCCAAATTGGCAGGGAGGTCATGGCGGAGCAACAGGACCTTCTCCGCAAAAAAGCTCGCAAATGCCTCACAGCTGTGTGTCGAATTGTTATTTAAATTTGGCTGTCCTTCGAGGGACGTTAAAGACCGAATTATACTAAATAATTGTGCCGGGCGAGAGCTAGCGGATGCAATGGAGGCCGAGAAGTAGGACTTCTTAGCGGCCTTCACTGCCATCTCGTAGGTTTTCATAAAAACCCTATAAGATGTTCTTGAGGCTCCGTCACGGGCACCCCGCCATACTCGCTCTAGCCGTCTGAGGTCCCGCTTCATTTTCCGGAGCTCCTCAGTAAACCAGGGAGCCCGGTTTCTGCGGGGTCGCAGAGGGCGCTTAGGTGCGATCTCATTGATGGCTGCCAGGAGCTGGGTATTCCAGCCCTCAACAAGCTCAGTCAATGAGTCGCCAGGGGGAGAAAGGTCCCGCAAGGCTTGACGGAATCTATCAGGGTCCATCAGCCTCCGCGGGCGAGCCCAAATCTTGTGATCCCTTTGCTCCAGGGCTGCATTAGGTCAGTCGCATCTGTGTAAGACCACTTACGACTGCCTTATATGTATGTATTTATTTTATTTATGCATATACTTCTTGACTGTAAAAAAGCTACTGGCAATTCATAGCTGGGGATGCTCCTGCGATGAGCTCCTGTTTGTGACTTTCCCACAGGACATCTGATCGGCCACTGTGAGAACAGGGAGCTGGATTACATGGGCTGCTGGCCTCATCCAGCAAGCTAGTCTTATGTTTTTTAAAAACCCTCATCTTAATTTAAGCAGCAGACAATCGAAGGGGGTTTTATGTCCACTCTTAAGAGCGTCACAATCCTAATAGCAGACTTGTTTTCCCTATTGCCTTATGTCTCCGAGAACGTTCTATGGGGAGAGAGTGCCCCACAGAAGATTTCTCCGCACCTACATTCCCAGGAGTGGGGTTCCTCCTCTCCTCGCCCCACAACAAAACCCCTCTGCAGAAATCATTAAAAGCTCACTAAGAGCCATAATGAAGCGAAGAAGTTATGGATTGTTAGCCAGACTCGTGGTTAGAAAACAAGGTCCATTAACGCTTTATAGAAGTAAGACGTTGTGGGAGATGAGAGGAAAGGAAGAAGGATTGGGGGGGGCAGAGGGGGGAGTCAGGGAAGGACAAAAGACTGGGGGGTGGGAAGAGTCATACTAGTTTCTGGAATGTTTTTTTTAATGGAGACAAGTAGGAGCGACAGCTGTGTGGGCAACACAGCAGTTTGTACCACTGTGACCAAAATGATTGAGGGGATGGAGCAAATTCGCTACGAGGAGGAAAGGTATGGGGACATTTTAGTTTAGAGAAAAGCAAGTATATGCAAGCAAGTGGAGAGAGTGTATAGAGGAAAGCTCTTCTCCCTCTCTCATTGCACCAGAACCCAACGAAGCTGAAGGTTGGAAGATTCAGGACTGAGGAAATAAAGTCCTTCTGCACACAGTACAGGGTTAACCTATGGAACTCCCTCCCACAGTAGGCAGTGATGGCCAACTACTCAGATGGCTTTAAAAGAGGATTAATAATAATAATAAATTTTATTTATACCCCACCCTCCCCAGCCAAGACCGGGCTCAGGGCGGCTAACACCAGGTATAAAAACAATTGATTAAAATACAACTTAAAAACAAGATTAAAATACAACATTAAAATGCAGCCTCGTTTCAGTGGAAGCACAGATCAAAAACTGTTTGGGGGGAGAAAACGTCAAATCTTCACCAAGGCCAACTATCCAGACTGATCCTACATGGGCCAGAAAAAAGCCAGGGAAGTCCCCAAATAGGAGTTCCATCACAGAAGCAGAAAGGAAAAAGGAAAGAGGGGGAGGGGATCAAACTGATTCCAAGCCAAAGGCCAGGCGGAACAACTGTGTCTTACAGGCCCTGCGGAAAGAAATCAGATCCCACAGGGCCCTGGTCTCATGAGACAGAGCGTTCCACCAGGCTGGAGCCAGTGTTGAAAAGGCCCTGGCTCTGGTTGAGGCTAATCTGACTTCCTTAGGGCCCAGGACCTCTAGGGTGTTGCTATTTATGGACCTTAAGGTCCTCCGTGGGGCAGACCGGGAGAGGCGGTCCCGTAGGTACGAGGGTCCTAGGCCGCGAAGGGCTTTGAAGGTCAAAACCAGCACCTTAAATCTGACCCTGTACTCCACCGGGAGCCAGTGCAGCTGGAAAATCACTGGGTGAATATGCTCCCAAATTCATGGAGGAGAAGGCAACTAGCCATGATGGCTATGTTCTGCTATCCCCTGTTGGAAGCAGTATACCTCTGAACATAAGTTGCTGAGAATCGCAGGTGGGGAAGAGTTGCTTTTTTGCTCAGTTCCTACTTGCTGTTTTCCCACAGGGGCATCTGGTTGGCCGATGAGAGAACAGGATGCTGCACTAGATAGGCCACTGGCCTGATACAGCAAAGCTCTATTTAGGCTCCTGTCTTTGACCCTAGCTGCAGAATCCTGCTCTTGGAGCTCGTTTTTGTTTTTAAGAGGAAATAAGATATATGAGAGAGAGAGAGAGAGAGAGAGAGAGAGAGAGAGATGGGGCAAAATTTGGTGACATCTAAGCAACTTGAGTTGGGACACGGGTGACGCTGTGGGTTAAACCACAGAGCCTAGGACTTGCCGATCAGAAGGTTGGCTGTTCGAATCCCTGCGACGGGGTGAGCTCTTGCCAACCTGCCATCCCTGCTCCTGCCAACCTAGCAGTTCAAAAGCACATCAAAGTGCAAGTAGATAAATAGGTACCGCTCCGGCGGGAAGGTAAACGGCGTTTCCGTGCGCTGCTCTGGTTCACCAGAAGCGGCTTAGTCATGCTGGCCACATGACCCGGAAGCTGTACGCCGGCTCCCTCGGCCAGTAAAGCAAGATGAGCACCGCAACCCCAGAGTCAGCCACTACTGGACCTAATGGTCAGGGGTCCCTTTACCTTTACCTTTAAGCAACTTGAGTTAGTGAATAAGATTCTTTGTGGCAAGAGAGCAAAAGCCCCCTTTGCCTTGATTAAAAAACAGGAGCAGAATGAATTAGGCAAACAAATAAAGCAGGTTAAGGGACCTGAAATGGAAGCAGGCCACAGAATTCTCAGCTGCTTTGTTGCAAATGGCTGATTTTGTACTGGCAAAACAGCGTCCATCTAGCCCCGTCTGTGGTTCGGGGAGAGTGCACTGAATTTCCCAGGTTCAATCCAAAAATCAATGTCATACAGGCACACAGAAAAGTTTCCGGCAAGTTGCAGAGCAAGCTGATTTGGGGTGGGGAAGTGAGAGAGGAGGACTGTCAAGGTGCGAAACAGAGTGTGTGCATATTAATGCCTTAGATTTAGAACTGGCCCAGAAAAATATATATAAATATACATTGCAAACACTAAAATTTTCACCCTGGATAACAAAGTCACACTTCAGGGTACTTTTCCCCCCCTTTTTTAATTCCCAGTTCTTGCAAACTTCATTTGCACCCAAGTTCCCTCGGTAAGCTAAAAGCAGCAAAGTTGATGTTCAAAACTCTCAGGTGAAGATCTAAGGAGGATGCAGGAGTGAAAAATCAGTCCTCACTTCCTGTTCTGACGTGAAAGGGAGCCAGTTGGGTGGCAGGACCACGGCACAGACAGGCCAAAATGCATGATTTGCTGCCTGTGGCCCACCCCCTAGCATCTTTTTACAGAGCAGAAGGAAAGCACCTTTAAGAACATAAGCTGAGCCTGCTGGATCAGGCCAAGGGCCCACCCGGCCCAGCACCCTGCTCTCGCAGAATCACATGGACTAGAAACTTGTATCTTTAAAAACGAAAGCAAGCACAGATTGCAATGTTTGGGTCTTTTTTAATCTGGAAAAAAACAGTGAGTAATGGGACGGGACACAGTAGAGAAGTGTGTAATATTGGGCATGATGTAGAGAAAGTGGACAGGGATTCCACCCCACCCCACCCCCGTCTTATAATATGGTAACTCACTGGGGCCACCGAATGAAATGTTAGAAGATTCAGGGCAGACCAAAGGAAGGGCTTCTTCACACAGCGCTAACCAAACAAATGTCCTCTGCCCGAAACCCCAGATAGCTGCAGCCTGTCGGTGTTAGAATCACAGAAGTAGAGTTGGAAGGGACCCTGAGGGCCATCTAGACCAACCCCTACAAGGCAGAAATCTTTTGCCCAACGTGGGGCTCAAACCCACAACCCTGAGATCCAGAGTCTCGTGCTCTGTTGACTGAGCTATTGAGAGGCTGATGATCTGATCCTTATAAGGCAACATTATATGTTCCTACTATAACCACCTCTCCACTGAGAACCATGAGGTCTGGACAGTTATGATTAGATCAGCAGGAGAGCATCTGTCCAGCTTGCAAAAAGTCCCGGGTGCAAGCCTTGGCCTAGGGACATCCCGCTGCCCGGAACCCTGGAGCGCTGCTTTCAGTCAGTGCAGGCACTGCTGGGCTAGATGGACCCCTGGTCTGTCTCGCTACAAGGCAGCTTCCTTGATGGTCCAGGGCAGCCTGGCCGGCCTCCTGTGCCCCTCTTCCCCTCCTCCCCACTCACCAGAGACGCCACGGCCGGCATCGCTGTCTTCGTCTTCAGCCGGGAGGTCGCTGTGGCAGCTCTCCGTAGCGCTCAAGGCTCCTCCCCTCTCGCTGCAGAGGCTGCTCTGGCTCTCCGACAAAATGCTCCCCAAGGCACGGCTGGGGGTCCTGGTGGGGGTCCGGGCCACTTCGCTGCTGGACACTGCAAGGGGGGGGGAGAAGAGGGTCTGATCTCTTGGCCAGTCCATGCAGATTCCTACTTACAGCTCCATTCCCCATGACGGCTGGTGGAGCGGGAGGCAGAGAGCCCAACCGCAGCTGTGAGATCTGGATGCTCAACTAGATAATTATATATATATAATTGGGCTCCCAATTGAGTGTTAAAAACAATACAGCATGAAATATTAAAAACTTCCCTAAACAGGGCTGCCTTCAGATGTCTTTAAAAAATAAGATAGCTGCTAATTTCCTTGACATCTGATGGGAGGGCGTTTCACAGGGCGGGGGCCACCACCAAGAAGGCCCTCGGCAAGGACTGAAACACTATGTTTTTCTATGGAGTCTTGCACTGGTCACTACTAGAATCATTCTGCCTCCATGCTAATTGTTTGTTCTCATGCTGACAATTGTTGGAGGATGTTTATACTTTTGGGTTATCTGTCCTGGTTTGTGAAACCTCATTCAAAACTATAACTAAATAACCAGCAGCCAGGCCCTTCTGGTGGTCTTACACACAACAATCGGGGTGGGGGGTTGATGGTTAGTGAAATGGACCGGTTGGATGTAGAGGAATGGTGGGAGGCACTGGCTGGGGAACCCGCAGGAGAAGAAGACCCATGATGAGTGGTCAGAGGGAGAAGACTGGGAAGAGGAGGGGCTGGAAGCTGAAGGGGAACAGGGCTCAGTGAGCTGGGAGAGTCTGTGGCAGAGAAAAGACCCGAACCTGGAGCAGGAGAGGCCAAGAGGCAGAGATGAGTCAGGCTGGCGAAGAGTCCCAGGGTCTCCCCCTCCTGCTGTGACAAGCTCCCCTCCCCGCTGTTCTCCCAGAACCAGGAGAGGCATGAAAAGGGCGGAGGATAAGTTAGCATTATGCAGGCACAATCTCTGATTGCTTGGGGGGGGGAAGAACCCTGGGGAGGAGGGGACTCAGGCAGCTTTGTGGGGTGGGACTTTCAGTCTCAGCAACTGATCCATGGGGCCAGACCTACCAGGGATGAGCTGCTGTGCTCATTAAGGCCGGATACTCAGCCAAGTGCTGTGCAGGTTGTGTTTTCGCTAATAAAGGGTTAACTCCAACTTTGATCAGTGTGATTTACTGCCAACTCGCTCTTTGACAGTTAAGTCCCACATGACACTAGGTAAAGGGACCCCTGACCATTAGGTCCAGTCATGGCCAACTCTGGGGTTGTGGCACTCATCTCGCTTTATTGGCCGAGGGAGCTGGCGTACAGCTTCCGGGTCATGTGGCCAGCATGACTAAGCCGCTTCTGGTGAACCAGAGCAGCGCACGGAAACGCCATTTACCTTCCCGCCAGAGTGGTACCTATTTATCTACTTGCACTTTGACGTGCTTTCGAACTGCTAGGTTGGCAGGAACAGGGGGACCTCACCCCGTCGCGGGGATTCAAACCGCCAACCTTCTGATCGGCAAGTTCTAGGCTCTGTGGTTTAACCCACAGCACCACCCGCGCCCCCCCCCACATGACAGTACTTTACCCCATTCAACTGCAAGTCCATCAAGTTCAGGATGGACGGTCAGTTTCAGCTCTACCTGGGAATGCCGAGGATGGAACCCTGGGACCTTGTGCATGCCAAGCGGAGCTGCAGACCTTTCCCATAAATTGAAAGCAAGGTTCCAGTCCTCATGGTTCTGAACAAAGGGCTGGTTGAAATTGGAAGCTGCCTTATCCTGAGCCAGACCACTAGCACAGTATTGTCAACCGTGATGGGCGACGACTCTCCAGGGTTTATGGTTCCACACAGCAGAGACATTCCAGAGCATAGCTGTCAACTTACAGATTTGAAAATAAGGGACCAGCAGCCCTGAAAATAAGGGATCAGCAGCCAAAATAAGGGATTTTCCGGGCACAGGTATGTTCAACTTCTGAGCCCCTCCGAGCCAAAGACAGAAAGCCCAGCCAGCAACCAAACGAAGCCTCATCAATAAGGAACAGCAGCAGGACATGGCACTGGGATAAGGGACTGTCCCGCCAAATAAGGGACGCTTGACAGCTATGTTCCAGAGCTGCCTGGAGATGTCATGGAGGAGAAAACCTGAGACCTTCAGTATGCCAAGGAGGTGATCTCTATTACAGAGTTGTGTTTCTCCCAACACACACACACACACACACACACACACACACACATTATTTCCCCCCCCCTTAGAAAACCACCCTCATGCACTTCAAGCAACAGGAGCTCTTCATCAAGGTAAGGAAAACAAAAGCTAACCGAAAGGGGGGGGGGAATGTTTTTGCAGAAACAGTTGCTACGGGTGCTTATTCCCGAAGGCATCCATTTTAAGAAAATGCACGCAAGGATGTTATCTGTCAATAGCAAGCCAGCCCCTTTCCCTATAAAATGATTTGAAACGATCTATCATGCAGAGGCAGCCGCTCAAGAAACCTTGGAACAATAATCAGTCAATGCCAAAGTATGTCACAGATTAAAATCTGCCGCTGCGCAAAATAATATTATGGCCTTAAAAAAACCAGCGTGACTTTATTAAGAGGAGTCTTGCGAAGATCAATTTCTCTACGGCGCAGTGAAGTCAAATAAACACGTTCCTGAAAAGAGGCTTTTATGTATTAACAGGGAGACCTCTACCATTTTAAACTTTTTTTTTCAAATGGAAGGCCCTCCCCGCAAAACCACGCTGCGTTTTTATTTCTTTTATATTTATTTCTTGCATTTATATCCTGCCTTTTTCTCCAAGGAGCTGAAGATGTGGTTCTCCCCTTCTTCATTTAATCCCCACAGCAACACTGGGGGTAGGTTAGGCAGTGAGCTTCATGGCTGACTGTGGATTTGAACCCTGGGTCAGAGCTCTAACCAAGACACCAATAATGCCTTTTTGAACACTGGGTTTTGAACCTGAGCCAAATTACGACTGCTTCCATTTCTCCTGGCCTTCCAGCCCCTTAAGATGGTCTGTGCTGACCTGAGGGCCAAATGCAGCGCTCTAGAGCAGTGTTTCCCAACCTTGGGCCTCCAGCTGTTTTTGGACTACAACTCCCATCATCCCTAGCTAGCAAGACCAGTGGTCAGGGATGATGGGAATTGTAGTTCAAAAACAGCTGGAGGCCCAAGGTTGGGAAACACTGCTCTAGATCTCTCTGCCTGGTCCTCAGAGGTCTCCCCAAGCCACGCCTTCTCTTTGGCCACACCCCTTTCTCTCCCCAGGCCACACCCCTCACCAACCCGACATCACCCCTTCCTTGAGTGGCGGGAAATGTGTCATTGAACTCTGATCGTTCCTCTTTGCTTGCCTGGGTGGAAGGATGGGGGGTGGGGTGAGAGTGTGCAGAAACTTGCCTGCACACAAGTAAAAATTTGCATCAGTTGCCCCTCCCGCTTTTGCCTCTGGCCCCGCCCACCACTGGCAAGTGGCCCCCCAGAAGGTTCTGTGGCCCTCTGGCTGAAAAAGGCTCTGCCCCTGTCCCTTAGAAACTTGTACAAAGTGCTCCTGCAAATGTATACACAGTGGTACCTGGGTTCTCAAACGTCGAAAACCCAGAAGTAAGTGTTCTGGTTTTCGAACGTTTTTCGGAAGCCGAGCGTCCGATGTGGCTTTCGGCTATTGTTTCCGGGGCGCCTGCACCAATCAGAAGCTGTGCCTTGGTTTTCAAACGTTTGGGAAGTCAAATGGACGTCTGGAACGAATTAAGTTTGGCGCTTTTGTTTTTGCTATTTATCTTGCGTTTTTTGTTTTTGAGGCTTTTTCAGTTAATTTGTTTTTGTGACTGCATGGAACCCAGTTCAGCTATCGACTGACTGATTGTGTGACTGCGGAAATGGATAAAAGCCCCCCCATCCAAACAATGACTATCATCAGTGCAGGTAAGGAAATAATAATAATTTTAATTTTTATCATCTACAATGCCTTCTTATTTATTTTATAGCACAGTACATTGATTATTGCTTTCATTTTATGAATGGTCTCATTAGATAGTAAAATTCATGTTAAATTGCTGTTTTAGGGGTTGTTTTTAAAAGTCTGGAACGGATTAATCTGTTTTGCCTTACTTTCTATGGGAAAGCGTGCTTGGTTTTGGAACGCTTTGGTTTTGGAACGGACTTCCGGAACGGATTAAGTTTGAGAACCAAGGTACCACTGTACATTTAATAAAATCTTAATAATAATAATAATAATAATTAATAATACTGCAATGCTGAAGGAGCACCCAGCGACCCAAGAAGCTGCTTTCCTCACCAGATTCCGCTCGGTGTTGTCTGATCTTGAAACCCTTCGATCCTGCGAGCAAAGACCGGTCATCCAGACTCGACGAGCTGAACTCAGAGTCGCTGTCACTATCACTAGAGACCACTGTAGGGAGACAGAAATACAAGGCGGATGGGGAGGAGGGGGGAAGATCCGGCCATAAATTATAAACTGAATCAACACTAGTCAGAAATGGCAAGCCTGCCGCAGTGAGAGGGATATTCAGATTCCATCCTCAACTCCCCCAAAAAGTCTGTGTGGAAAGGCACATCTAAACTAGGTGTTTTGGGGGTTTTCCATTTATTTATATTTTATTGAAAGTTTTACAGTTAATTGAAGTAAATAAGAAAAAGAAAGAAGAGAAAGGAAAGAAACAAAACAGGATAACAACAATAACGAAGTAACATTAAAATGTAATTAGGGTTGCAGAACTATGTAATCTGTGTGTAAATAGATAAGACTTATTATATCCCTCACTTCATGAGTTACTATGGTTTTGATAAATACTTTCCAAATATCATTAAATTTGTCCATGAATAATTTTCGTCTGAAAGCGATCTGTTCATAGGTTACAAGAGTTGTCATGTCGTCTATCCATTGATCAAAGGAGGTCATATTTTTATCCTATAATTTAAGATGATGTTACCTTCCAAAAATTGTAACTCCTTCCCCACAATAGTTCTTATACCTCCTAGTATTTTTCTCCAGAAATTTGCTAACGCTGACCACTGTGTAAACCATATACTTCAAAGAAGCAGTCTCCTTACTGCATCTCCAACAGCACGTTGTCATCAATAGACCATGTTTATGCAATCGTGATTGACTCCAATAAACTAAATAAAATATTTTCTTGTACGAGACGTAGATTATAATATATCTTGTCTGGATGTTGAGATATGCATGCAGCTTTAAAGACAGACACTACTCAGAGGCATTCCATAACCCGGGAGCCACAACAGAGAAGGCCCTGTCATGCAATACTGGCTCAATGAAGGGAGATTTCTCCTGGAGATTTCAACACCCAGGCAGATCTACATGGGATATTTGGTGCTCAGCTCATTTAGGGTTTTGTCTGCCAGCGGAAGACCCTAGAGATAGACTCCGAAGCATACAGGCGACCAGTGTGGGTCTTTTGAGAACCAGTGTTCATAAGACCCAAATGTTCTTGTGACATTTCTCAGGAGTTGTTCAGAAGCAACTCCTATAATAACATATGCGGGGGGGGGGGGGAGAGAGACACCTGGAAATTAAATGGTTTTGAGCTTGCTAGCTGCAAGATTAACTATGTAAGAGCAGAAGACAAGGCTGCTGGATCAGGCCAGTGGCCAACCAGATGCCCCATTGGGAATCTTCAAACAATCGGCTTCATTGGATCTCACAGATCCTGATGGAGAAGGGATCAACTTCTTTGTTCTTTCGCTCCAGAACCTCAAGACCAAATATGTTCAGATCTGAGGGCCTTATGCTGAGGATTTTGAACAAGGAAGCACGTAGTGACTTTCCGAGTAAGGTTCTGGTCATTTGCGGCAGGTTTTTTGTTTTGTTTTGTTGCTGCTATTAAAGCAAGCAATCTAAAACCCAACAGCGGATCGTGCCAAACACGAGTCTCATTAAATGTTACTTCACTTTTTGCTGTTTCTGCAAGCTCAACGAAAGGGAGACAGAGGAAGAGAGAGCGATAAAAACGAAGAAGGCTCAATTTCGCTGACACAAATCTAAGGGTGCGATTTGAATTGGTAAATTATTCCCACTTTGCAGCAAAAAAAACAAAAGGGGGAAAAAGAAAACTGCAACCACTTCTTCTATTTAAACACCATGTGAGGAGGGAACTAATTTAGCTGCCAGCTGTTTGATGGCGAGATCAGGTGGGGGAGAAGAGGAGAGGAGACAGAATTGTCTTTTTCCTTTTTCTACGGCAAGGCCATTTGACAATGGATAGACAATCCCAGTATCCTTGCAGAAGGCCTCAAAGTCCAAGGGTGAGCCCCAGCTGAGCAACAGCTCCTGTCTGAAGCTGGAGCAAAGAAAATATGAAAATAGGGAATGAAGTCACCGCATTGCATTTATATCCCACCCTTTGTTTCCTCCAAGGAGCTCTCTGCATTTTTCAGTGGAACTTTCCCAAAGAATGCATTTGTTTTGCCAATATATATTTTTGAAGAACCATTTCCCACAAAGCGTGCGTTTTCGTACACTGTGTGCGTGTAGAGAACGGCGTCACCAAATTTGGAGCTATTTGGATTTTGAAGGATTGATGCGTTTTGGTTTGCGCATTGTTTCAGGAACTGGAAATTAAGGGTGTTTGCATTTAACCGCCCAGTCTTCTGGAAAGCCCAGAAAGGCTACTGTGTCTCTGTATGAGTCACTGGTCTGTCCATTCCTCCTTCCCATCACCTTCTGTTAGGAGTAAATCATTCTACTCCCATCCCTACACTGGGCATAGAATCACTCCTGATACAGCACAGGCTACTTGCGTTCCAGCTCTCTGCAAGAGTTACTGTTCTGGCTTTCTCAAGTGGCTGCTCTGAGCATGCCCAGGTTGTGCAAACACCCAGAAAGGGTGGTTCCTTCAAGAAGGGCAACTCTTAACACTGCCATGCCCAAACAGCAAATTGCTTAGCACAAATTCTGGTGGTTTTCCATCTATTGCAATTCACGCGGCAAGAGGATATTCAGAAATACAGGAGACCACACTAGGAGTTTCTGTGCGACAAAGCAGTGGATCGTCCCCACGAACACATGTCGATGCAAAAGGGGACGGAGGACGACCGTCAACACAGCAAAATGGTTGCCAGAGCTGTTGGCACTTCCCCCAGCCATAAATCAAGTGCCGAAAAAGGCTGGGAGGGGTTACCCTGGCAACAGCCAGGAAGCGTAAATACTCGCATCAATGCAGCTGTGTGAGAGTGCACACCCATAGCATCAACACCCACCAAAGATGCCCCAAATTACGGGAATAGCTCAGTTGGTAGAGCATGAGATTCTTAATCTCAGGGTTCTGGGTTTGAGCCCCACGCTGGGCAAAAGATTCCTCCATTGCAAGGGGTTGGACTAGATGATCCTTGTGGTCCCATATTCTATGATATGGGGTGGACAAATTTGTCAATTTCAGCTCCTATCCATTTCTCCGGGCTTTCTCGGTTCCAGATCAGTTTATGAGCTTTTTTTTTTTAAGTCCGCACAAAAATTTGCAAACATTCAGGTGCCCCTCTCCTAGCATTTGCAAAGAATTTGCCCTAATAGACCTTTGCCCAAGAATTTGCCCAAGGGCTTTTGGCTACTCAATAGAATTTGCCCAAGGGCTTTTGGCTACTCAACAGGACTTCTCTTTCCCTCCCCTCTCCCTGTGCACTGGCTAAATCTATTCTGGACTTCCCCCTCCTCAATTAATCCGCACCACAACCCTGTGAAGTAGGCTAGACGGAGAGAGACAGTGATTGGCCAAGGTCACCCGGTCAGATTAATGGCAGATGGGGGATTCGAACCCCGATCTCCCAGGTCCCAGTCTGACACTCTAACCAAAACACCACCCTGGCTCTACACATCTGAAGGGCTGCCTCATGGAAGGTGGTTAGCAAGCTTGTTTTCTCCTGCTCAGGAGGTTAGGATTGACGGTCCAAGAATCCACGTTCTTGCAGTGCAGGAATCTCAGCTAAAATATCCATGGCGGACTCTCCTTCGATGGAGGTTTTTAAGTGGAAGTTGCAAGGCCATCTCTCGTGGATGATCCTTGGGGCCGCTTTTCAACACTGCACTTCTAAGATTCCACCACCACCACTTACCGTATTTTTTGCTCTATAGGACGCACTTTTTCCCCTCCAAAAATGAAGGGGAAATGTGTGTGCATCCTATGGGGCGAATGCAGGCTTTCGCTGAAGCCTGGAGAGCGAGAGGGGTTGGTGCGCACCAACCCCTCTCGCTCTCCAGGCTTCAGGAAGTTATCTCCAAGCCTTCGGAGCGTGGGGTGAATTCCCGCCGGGCTCCCAAGGTTTGCGGATAGCAGCCTGCAGCCTGAAACCCGGGGAGCGCAGCGCTGTGCACCCCGGGCTTTGGGCAGCTATCTGCAAGCCTTCGGATAGCAGCAAGCTCCGGGATCAAAGGGGGCTGGGGTCGGGGCAAGCTCGGGCTTCCCCCGCCCCAGCCCCGCGGCTAAAAAGGAAGGCAAGACAGCTAGCGGGATCCATCCCGCTAGCTGTCTTGGCTTTTGCCAAAGCTGCGCGCAGCCTCTCCCTGCTGGAGAGGTTGTGCGTGGCTAAAGAGGAAGCCAAGACAGCCAGCGGGATGGATCCCACTGGCTATCTTGGCTTCTTTGCTCTTTGGGGCTGGGGGGGGGAATTTAAAAATTTTCCCACCCAAAAAACTAGGTGCGCCCTATGGTCCGGTGCGCCCTATAGAGCGAAAAATACAGTATTTCTGCAATATTTCTTTAGAATCGTGTTGCGGCCCTAGAAGTCTTCACCCCACCCCACACCCCGTAGTCAGGCCACAGAGAGCCAGGAAAGGACTGACCTCTTCCTCTGGCCCAGGTGAAGGAATGTCGGGGGGAGACCCCCTTGAGGTCCATCGCTGGTGGCTCCAGGTGACGAGGTCGCGGGGTCTGCTCACTGGCTTTGCCGCCACCGCTTTTCAAAGGCAAGATGTACTTGGGGAGGCCCTTGTAGAACCAGGCGCCGGACCGCTTCCAAACCTAGAGAGAAGGAGAGCAAATAATCAGGATGATCTCTGGACCCTCCTGGGGTGACCCAAGGGATGTACAGTGGTACCTCGGGTTACATGCACTTCAGGTTACATACGCTTCAGGTTACAGACTCTGCTAACCCAGAAATAGTGCTTCAGGTTAAGAACTTTGCTGCAGGATGAGAACAGAAATCGTGCTCCGGCGGCGCAGCAGCAGCAGGAGGCCCCAATTAGCTAAAGCGGTGCTTCAGGTTAAGAACAGTTTCAGGTTAAGAACGGACCTCCGGAACGAATTAAGTACTTAACCCGAGGTACCACTGTACTGGCTGTGGGGCTGGTTTGCTCTGGTTTTCTCTCCATCCTCCTCCCTTGCAAAGATCCTGTGGACACTGAATGAGGACAGCAGAACAAGCACTGAGCATCTAACCCAGGGAAACCACTGATCGAACAGCACTCAGCCCTGCAAGAATCCCGACAGAAATCAACCCGAGTGCAGAAATTGCCCCTTCGTCCCATGCCACTGGGAAGTCACTTTAGTGCTTAGAGCGTCAGAATAGGGCCTCTAAGATCAGGGTTTGAATCACCGCTCAGATATGAAGCAAACTAGGTGACCTTGGGCAAGCTACTGTCTCTCTCTGACTAGTCTACAACGCAGGGTTGTTGTCTGTATCTGAATACCAATTGCTGGAAACTTTCTTATTACGATTAGATTAAAAAAAAGTTTACAGTGAGGTGTAATATAAGCTTACAGTTATTTGCATTAACAAGAGAAGTCATGAAATAAATGTAAAGATACGGTAGATCCTTCATGCGCTTTATATAAGAGAAGAGGGAATCGTAATTAGGATTCAAGATTGATCTATTACATATTGATTTTAAACAACCTGCTCTGAAAATCACCATGGCAATCAACAGCAGGCAAGAAATTGCCTTTTACCTGAGAAACAGCCTGCCCTCAAAAACAAAAGAGTCTGCCCTTTGCGTCTCTGTATGAATCGTGGCTGTGATGGCCTGGGAATCTGATTCAGAGGCTGAACCGGAGGAGTCCCCGCCTCCAGGGCCGGCTGAGCTGGGGCAGGGCCTTGAATCTGAAGCGCCTGCACCTGTGCCGGATCCTTAGGCTCCGGAGGTGATTGAGGACCCATTGCCTACAGGTGCGCCTCTCCCAGCCCTGTCAGGGGAAGGTGAGTCTCCCCCTGGGTCCAGTAACCCTCCAGCCTCTCCTGAGCTGCAGAGGCTCAGGGCAGAGAGGCGGAGGGAACTGGGTTCTCTCAGGAGGAGTGCTCGTCTTAAGGCCAGGAGAGGCAGGTCTCCTGGGGGCCGGGACCACCCCTGGCCTCAGAGGAGAAAAAGGCCAGTCAGCCCGGTCCCAGGTTGCGGGAGCAGCGACGTTGGAAACCTGTTTCCGCCAGAACCCAGACCTGTTCTTCCAGAGTTCCTGACCTTGCCCGGCTCCTCGCTTTGGACCCCACTTCACCCTTGGTGGACAATCTCCAGACCCTCAACCCAGGACCGGACTCTGACCACGCCTCACGGTAACCTCCCCCCGGGACCAGCACAGTGGCTTTCTGCCAACTGAGGGACACCTGGAACAGTGACTCATGCAGAGACACTTATGAGAGGAGGCTCTTGCAGCTGTTTTGGAAAACATTTTACAACAAAACCATTGGTAGCAATAAGGGCTCAGAGCAAAAGCATCCAATTTCAGTTCAGAAAAGCAAGCTATTCAAAGTCCAGCATGAGAATTTCTCTTCCAACCTATTTTTCTTCTCTCTCTCTCTTTTCTGAAGCTGACACGACAAGCTTGATAAAGGGCAGCTTAAACCAAATTAATGGAGGGAGAACAAATCAATCCTTTGCACAATGGTGAGGGGGGGAAATGAAGCTGCAAGAGCCAAAAAGCCCTTTTCTGGCAACCCTCGTTTATCTTTGCAAATAGTATTTTTTAAACGATCCTCACCTGCAATCAGGGACACGGGTGGCGCTGTGGGTTAAACCACTGAGCCTAGGACTTGCCAATCAGAAGGTCGGCGGTTCGAATCCCCATGGCGGGGTGAGCTCCCGTTGCTCGGTCCCTGCTCCTGCCAACCTAGCAGTTCGAAAGCACACCAGTGCAAGTAGATAAATAAGTACCAGTCCGGCAGGAAGGTAAACGGCGTTTCCGTGCGCTGCTCTGGTTCGCCAGAAGTGGCTTGGTCATGCTGGCCACATGACCCAGAAGCTGTACGCCGGCTCCCTTGGCCAATAAAGCGAGATGAATGCCGCAACCCCAGAGTCGGTCACGACTGGACCTAATGGTCAGGGGTCCCTTTACCTTTTACACCTGCAATCTAACTTTAGGACAGGACATTGTACTGCAGGAGTGTTCAACCCGATGCCCTCCAAGATTGTGGGATGATGTGGTTGTGCTGTATGGGATAGCCCCCCTCCACTCCCCCCGGCATTCATAACTGGGACCTCGCAATGAGAAATCCAAGCTCACAAGGCAGTTAGACACTCCCAAGAGGGCCTACCAAAGACACACAGGCCTGAGTGCTCTCTGGTAAAAACTGCATAGAAGGGGAAACCGAAAGTACAATATTAACAACGGAATAAAAGTATTGCAAGCTGCTGAGAGGCTGCCGCCTCCTTATAGAAATTCAGCCTAAGAGGGACTCAAGCCGAGAGAAAAAGATCGTTTGAGTGTGAAAAATCAGAGCGAGCAGATTAGGGCGCCCCAGCGGCCGGCTACAGCGATAAAGACTTCGCGCTCCCCGCAAGAATGCTCGCCACACGTTCCAATTTAGATTTTAATAGCGAGATTGCGATGAAGGGAGCTTATTAGCGCACACTTAATATACACGGCTTTGGGTGAAGGAGAGGGAGGGGGGGAAGGGAGCGCAAGAGAAAACGAAGCAATATCCAGAGACAAAAAAAAAACCCAACCCAGTTTCGTTGGAGCCTTCCGACAAAGCAAACTGAACGAGACGGGTTTTTCGAGTCAAGGAATTATGGGTCTGCTTTTGGGGTGGAGGGAATCGGAAGGTTTGGAAATATTTCAGGCCCTGTGGGTTTATGAGGAATGGCTGAGGTAGTTGGGGGTGCTCAGCTTGGAGGAGAAGAAAGATAGGATAGCCGTCGTCAAATATCTGAAGGGCCGTCACATGGAAGATGTGTTTTTATCATGTATTTTTATGTTGTGAACTGCTGTGAGATCTACGGATGAAGGGTGGGTACGCAAATTTAAATAAGAAATAATAATAATAAGAGGCAAACTTGTTTTCTCTTGCTCCAAACCAATGGATTCAAAAGACAAGAAAGGAGATTCCAAACAAACACTAGGAAGAACTTGCTGAGGGCAAGAGCCACAGAACGGACTCCCTCAGCTGGAGGCTTTTAGAAAGAGGCCCTCCGTCATGGACGCTTGAGTCGAGATTCCTGCATTGCAGAAGGTTAGACTTGATGGCCTTTGGGGGTCCCTTCCAACTCTACAATTCTGTGATTCTATGAACCGTTCCCAGGGATGGCCCCAAGATGCCACAGCACTTAAATTGATTTATATAGTAGTGCCCCTCAGTTAAGTGGGCATGGCCAACACGAGGCCTGCAGCTGCCACTAGGCCTGATGTGGGAGGAAGCTGTATTGGGATCTCCTGCTCGACCTCCAGGACATTTCAAGTAGATCCATGAGGATTTCCGGCTCCCAAGCGTTTCAACAGCGACAACACAAAACGAATTCTCTCCTGAACTATACTTCTGATGTGAAGTACAGTGGGGGTTGCATCTGAAGTGGTAGACAAGACTATGAGCTCAGTTCAGTTCTCAAAACCAATTCCCCAAGATAAGAATTCTTTCATTCCAAGCATATGTATTTTGCCCTTGGTTCCAACTGGTGGGTTCCAGAAAAACAAAAACCCCGCAAGCCTAAAGTATGCTGAGCCTTGCTCTTGAAAACCTGATTATTAAAAAGGGGGAAAGAGATTCTGAGAATTCTTGATTCTGCACCCCATGCTGAAATGGCTATGTTTGAGATGCATGGCATTGATATAATAAAAAGATAAGGCTGTCATCGCACAGTAGTTTCTTTGGGCACCAGCAGGTGGCGCTGCAACCTAGAGAGTGTTAACAGTCTTCTGAAGGCTATTGAGCCACTGCATCAGTGATGGAGGGTGAGGAGAAAGAAGGCGGAAGAGGGAGACTGAGGTGGGCAGTCTAGGCAGACCGTGGAAGAGCAACTCTAAGGGCAGGGAGGGCGGTTTGGCAAGGGGGTGGAGGCAGGTGGGGTTGGTGATCGAAGCAAGCATGGGGACAGCTCCAGGTAATTTTATACATTCTCTCTCTCATTACAGCAAATAGCAGCTTGCTAACAGATGTTATATGGGCTCAGGCCCATTTGGTTAGCATGTAGAACACGCACACTATTATTAATGAGGCTGCACAGAATTGTACCCCCCACCCAAAAAGAAAAAGTCAGGCGGCAGCAGGATAAACGAGGCAAGTGGGGAAATTAAACAAGCACCCCGGTACTTTTCATTATGCACCAGCAGAACTTTGCAATTACATCCTTTGGACCAATCTGTCTTGACTCCACAACACGACTGCCTTGCAGAGCGGCAGGGATCGGTGGGTGGGAAGAGGCTGATTTCCTAAATGCAGGTAAAGCAAATCCACATACTGCACCTTCTGATGTAGAAGACATCAGAAATTCAGAGAAATCCGGTTCAGTTTAATTGCGAAACGCGAATTTACTTAATCCGCACGCCCTGAAACAAGCATGTGAACAGCCAGCCTATGGAATTTGCGCTCCTGTGGATTTTGAAACGCTGCTGTCTAGGCAAGTCAAGGTGTGCAAAAAAATAAAAAAAAATGCATCTGTCAGGGTAAAACGTGCATAAAATGGCACATTATGATTATCATTAGAATTAATTTATAAAAATATTTATCTACCACTGTGCCATAAAAAGATATCAAACTGGTTTACAGCAATAAAGCATGAGACCATACAACAAAAACCACAAAAAAGTTAAAAGCAGAGATTAATTAACAATTGTTTATTATTAGAAACACAGAGTTGGTAGGGACAATCAGGGTCATCTAGTCCAACCCCTACAATGCAGGAATCTTTCAGGCTTGAATCCAGAACCCTGATATTAAGAGTCTGATGTTGTTGCTGTTGTTGCTGTTGTTACACACCCTTGCTTTACCAAAAGTGGATATTAATAATAATTTTATTATTTATACCCCGCCCTCCCCAGCCAAGGCCGGGCTCAGGGTGGCTAACAAGCAATAATAAAAACAAGTTGAATGATTACAACTTAAAACAAAATTAAAATACAACATTAAAATAATGGAACATTAAAATATTAAAATGCCTCATCGCAGGAGAAGGAAAAGAAAAAAGAAAGAGAGGGAGGGAGGGAATCAAATTGGCTCCAAGCCAAAGGCCAGGCAGAACAACTCTGTCTTACAGGCCCTGCGGAAAGAAATCAGATCCTGCAGGGCCCTGGTCTCATGAGGCAGAGCGTTCCACCAGTGCGGAGCCAGTGTTGAAAAGGCCCTGGCTCTGGTTGAAGCCAATCTAACTTCCTTAGGGCCCGGGACCAATAGGGTGTTGCTATTTATGGACCTATTAGGCAAAACTGAATGACAAACATGCCTATTAGGAGAAACTCACACTAAATTGCTGGATTTTTACAAGGGCTTTCTTTTTTACTGGAAACTGGTGCAGAAATGCGGAGAGCTGAAGATTGGAAATATGATGGAAACTGAAATTGACATATCTGCCCGTCCCTAGTCTGCTGCGAGCAGGAGGTGATCAGGCTTCAAATAAATCATTCCTGGCTGGGCACAAGCCTCAAACCGGACAGATTTTTCATGTTAAAAGGCTGGTGTTTAAACAGCATCGCGTCGTCAAGCTTCACAGGGGCTGAGCAAGGGACCCCATATAAAACAGTGCCGGCCCTGTCAAGGGGTAAAGGAAGCGACTGCTTTTCCTGGATAAGGGCACCAATGAAGGGAGACATTTTGAAAACATCTTACTCTGCTTTTATCGCTCAACTACTTCTCATTCCTCACATTTGTATACCACCCTTCCAGAGAAGGGTGGAAGGAGGCATCCATATTCTCCCCATCCTCACAACACCCCAAGAGGTCGGTTGGGCTGAGATCAGCCAGTAAGCCAATTCCCACCTAGTCATTTTGACACTCTGGTACCCTATTTGCAAAATTTAACAATTCCAAAATACAGACGTGCTTTCACTTTCGCAAGTTTGAATATATACTGCCTTCACCACTGGGGAAACGGTTATGTCCATGTGGAGATGGCAGTATTGAGTCAGGATTTCCTGTGCTTCTAGCTTGCACTCTTTATAAAACTTTGAGGAGTGAGGTTTCCTCTCTAGAAGGGGAAGAAATGGAGGCAGTGAGAGATTTTACTTTCTCGGGCTCCGTGATCACTGCAGATGGTGACAGCAGCCACGAAATTAAAAGACGCCTGCTTCTTGGGAGAAAAGCAATGACAAACCTAGACAGCATCTTAAAAAGCAGAGACATCACCTTGCCAACAAAGGTCCGTATAGTAAAAGCTATGGTTTTCCCAGTAGTGGACACGACTAAACGACTGGGAGACTGGTTCAAATCCCCACTCAGCCATGAAGCTCCCTTGGAGATCCCTTGGTGACACCTGGCTTGAGAGCAGTACATGTGAAAAGGATCTAGGAGTCTTGGTTGACCACAAACTTGACATGAGCCAACAGTGTGGCGCGGCAGCTAAAAAAGCCAATGCAATTCTGGGCTGCATCAATAGGAGTATAGCATCTAGATCAAGGGAAGTAATAGTGCCACTGTATTCTGCTCTGGTCAGACCTCACCTGGAGTACTGTGTCCAGTTCTGGGCACCACAGTTCAAGAAGGACACTGACAAACTGGAACGTGTCCAGAGGAGGGCAACCAAAATGGTCAAAGGCCTGGAAACGATGCCTTATGAGGAACGGCTAAGGGAGCTGGGCATGTTTAGCCTGGAGAAGAGGAGGTTAAGGGGTGATATGATAGCCATGTTCAAATATATAAAAGGATGTCACATAGAGGAGGGAGAAAGGCTGTTTTCTGCTGCTCCAGAGAAGCGGACACGGTGCAATGGATCCAAACTACAAGAAAGAAGATTCCACCTAAACATTAGGAAGAACTTCCTGACAGTAAGAGCTGTTCGACAGTGGAATTTGCTGCCAAGGAGTGTGGTGGAGTCTCCTTCTTTGGAGGTCTTTAAGCAGAGGCTTGACAACCAGATGTCAGGAGTGCTCTGATGGTGTTTCCTGCTTGGCAGGGGGTTGGACTCGATGGCCCTTGTGGTCTCTTCCAACTCTATGATTCTATGATTCTATGATTCTATGATTCTATGATCCTTGGGCCAGTCACAGCCTCTTGGCCTAATCTACATCGCAGGATTGTTGTAAGGATGAAAGGGGGAGAGAGGGAAACCATGCTTGCCAACTTGATTTCCTTTACTTTGAGGAAAAGTGGGATATAGATATAAGTATAAATAAATTAAACAAGAAAAATGAAGATTAAACTCAGTTAATGGAGGGAGGGCAAATCAATAGATCCTTCACACAACGGTTAAAAAATGAAGGTGCAAGGGTCAAAGCAACACTCATCTCTCTTCGCAGGAAGTGTTTTGTGTGCTTTGTTCCTCACCTGCAATCTAAGTTTAATGTGGGACATTCTGTTGCTGGGATAAGTCAATCTGATGCTCTCAATATATTGACTGAGTGGGAATTTGAACCTTGGTCTCCTGAGTCCTAGTCTGACTCTCACTGATGCACCACACCGGCTCTCAGGATACAGGATCGCAGGTTTGGAAGGGACCCCTGGGCATCATCCAGACTGACCCTTCCAAACCTAAAGCATATGATACTCAAGACAGCCTTGGTGTGTGGATGAAGGAGGCAGGCAGAAACTAGTTTCTACTGACCCAAAAACTCGGCGGTTGCGCAAGGAATAATTTCTGCCCCCTCTGATTATTATTGGAGTCTTTCCTGAAGAAGCAGGCATTTGATACTGCAAAGCAGGAATCCTGTCACCATGGACTCACCTCTCTCTGCTCACTGCAAATCTTGCAGAACCAGACGGGCCGCTTCTGGGCGCTCAGGGTTTCAATCCCACATTTGGTGCAGACTTTCTGGGGGGGAAAGACGACACGGGGATTGGGGTGGGAACCATTAGAAAGGCCGAAGGAGCCCAACGCCAACGCCACCCTCCCCTTGAAGGAAAGAAGCAAACAAACAAGACTAGGAGACCTGCCATTTAAATTACCCATAGTGCACTGCTCCACTGGGAAATGCTGAGAGAGCGCCATGGGGGCCATAGCTGTCAACATTTCCCTTTTTTTAAGGGAAATTCCAATTCGGAATAAGGGAATTTCCCTTAAAAAAGGGAAACGTTGACAGCTATGGTGGGGGCCAGTCACAAAATGGCTGCCGCGGGGAGAGGGGCCCAATACAAAATGGCTGCCACATTGGGCATGTTGTAATGGTTGTGGTATCTTAAAAAGCAGAAAAGGAGACAAGATCACAAAATTGGGGGTGGGGGCCTCCCTATCAGGTACCAAAAGGCGGCCATAGCGAGCCTTTTCGCTGGTTCCAGCAAGCGCCACGTTGGCAACTCTTGACCCGGAGCATTGTGGGAAATCAAAATGGCGGCTCCTAACCGTCCGCCGCAGGTACCAAGCTGCGCTGCTGCAATTTCCAAGCTCACCAGAGGGGGCGTCCCACAACTCTGAAGCTGGAGGCAGCATCCCTTTGGAAATGGATCACCGTTTCTGGACACCTGCTTGCAGGCTGTAGGAGCTCAGATTGGGGAGGGTGGCTTAGCTGTTTACCAACTCTCCCCAGACACAAGAGGGGTGGGAGGAACAAACCCACAGGGCATGAGATGGGTAAACGTTTCAAAAACAGAGAGAGAGAGATGTAGCAGGCAGGTTCGGCCGGGGGATAAACAGCTGGTGCTCGATATAAAATCAATTCTCCTAATGAGGGAACGGCAATAGTCCCTCATGGTGCTGGAGGGGGGAGAGAATTAAGGTGCCCAATTGAACTGCAAGAGCCGCAGGTGGTGCTGGCGGCCATTGATCGCCACCGAGAAGGCTGGTTAACCCATTAAAAACACGTTCAAGTTGCCCCAGAGAAGCCACATAGAATTGTAGTGTCAACCATAGCTGTCAACTTTTCCCCTTTCTTGCAAGGAATCCTATTCGGAATAAGGGAATTTCCCTTTAAAAAAGGGGAAACGTTGACAGCTATGAGCCCAACCCCTGCAATGCGGGAATCGCAACTTGAGAATCCCTGACAGAGGATGTCCATTGCACTGTTCTTCCTAAAGTTTAGTGAGAATCTCCTTCCTTGTCATTTAAATCCATTGGTTCAGGCCACAGGGGTCAGCAAACTTTTTCAGCAGGGGGCCGGTCCACTGTCCCTCAGACCTTGTGGGGGCTGGACAATATTTTGGGAGGGAAAATGAATGAATTCCTGTGCCCCACAAATAAGCCAGAGATGCATTTTAAATAAAAGGACACATTCTACTCATGTAAAAACACACTGATTCCCAGACCGTCGGTGGGCCGGATTTAGAAGGCGATTGGGCCAGATCCGGCCCCCGGGCCGTAGTTTGCCTACTGATGGTTCAGGCCCTACTTTCTGGAGCAGGAGAAAAGAAGCTTGCTCCGTCTTCCATGCGACAGCCCTTTAGATACTGGAAGATGACTCTCCTATCTCCTCTCAGCCTCTTCTTGAGCAGGCTAAAAAATATCCAGCTCCTTTGTTCTTAAGAGCAAGGGTGAAGAACGTCCGGGCTTGAAGCCTTCTAGCCCTTTTTATCACGCCCTTGGCACACTTGGGAAGCCCCTCCCCTTCTTCTCAGGCCACACCCCATTGCTGGTCCCGATCCCCACTCTCCTCGAGTGTTTTCGCCTGGCTGGAAATGCCTGTACCTTGCCTGGAAGAGAGGGGGCACATGGGGAATATCCAAGGCCACTCCTACTCAAGAGTAGGCTCATTGAAATTATGGACATGGCCAACTTCGGCCCATTCAATGGGTCTACTCTGAGTAGGAATCTCATCAGCTGCACCACTGTGTGTTTTAACATTTACGTTTATTACTCCGCTCACTTTTGCCTCTGGCGTGCGGCCCCCAGGAGGTTACAAGGAAGGGGACGTGGCCCTCAAGACTGAAAAAAAGTCCCCCACTCCTGCCCTGTGCTAGACCCAAACATGAGAAATCCAGGATTGCTCTCTTACTTAAGGGGAGGAATAAATTGCTGCTGTTTCTCTCCCTGCGGGGATTCAAGTCTACAGCTTAGGCCTGTAACAGTCAAGTGCTGCCCCCTGACGGGCGCCTGTGGAATTCTAGAAGCCCTCAACATAAGAAATTCCCTCCTGCTTTTCAGCCATATCACCCAGGAAACAAAAACCGTTTTCCTTCGCTTTGGCTCTCAGGCGGAGGAGGAGAAAAGGGGGAGAGAGTTTTGCAGGGTGGGGGTTATTTGCAGGTACTTTAAAGGATGCTAAGAAGAAAGAAGAGTCCCCTCAAATCCTCACAAAATTCTTAATTTTGACATGCGGAGAATAAATCCCCATCTATCAGCCGAAAGAAGGAACAGCCAGCGAGCTGCAGCCCTTCTTTGTGAACCAAAGCAAGTTTCTAGACCTCATGGTTCTAAGACAGGGGTCAGCAGCTTTTTTCAGCCGTGGGCCGGTCCACCATCCCTCAGACCATGTGATGGGCTGGACTATATTTTGGAACGAATTCCTGTGCCCCACAAATAACCCAGAGATGTATATTAAATAAAAGCACACATTCTACTCATGTAAAAACATGCTGATTCCTGGACTGTCCATGGGCTGGATTTAGAAGGTGATTAGGGACGCGGGTGGCGCTGTGGGTAAAAGCCTCAGCGCCTAGGACTTGCCGATCGAAAGGTCAGCGGTTCGAATCCCCGCGGCGGGGTGTGCTCCCGTCGCTTGGTCCCAGCGCCTGCCAGCCTAGCAGTTCGAAAGCACCCCCGGGTGCAAGTAGATAAATAGGTACCGCTTACTAGCGGGAAGGTAAATGGCGTTCCGTGTGCTGCGCTGGCTCGCCAGATGCAGCTTGTCACGCTGGCCACGTGACCTGGAAGTGTCTGCGGACAGCGCTGGCTCCCGGCCTCTAGAGTGAGATGAGCGCACAACCCTAGAGTCTGGCAAGACTGGCCCGCACGGGCAGGGGTACCTTTACCTTTAGGCCGCATCCGGCCCCCGGGCCTTAGGTTGCCTACCCCTGATCTAAGTTCAGGGCTGGTTTCAATAGGAATGCAGGAAGATGCCTTATGCCAATTCAAACCTACCAGCTCAGTATTGCCTGCACTGACTGGAAGCTGCTCTCTGGAGTTTGGGGACAATTCCCAGACCTACCTGCCGGATCCTGAACACACGACCTTCTGCATGGAAGGCAGGTGATCTACCACTGAACCAAAGATCAGCCACCCTGATGGATGTGGGTCAGACGAAACTAATGCGGCTGCCCCCTTGGACCTTATATTTGGGATATCTCCGCTGTCTTCTTCTTTCTAGTTTTAGGCACGTAGGGAGCTGGGCTTTGGACCAAGTCAAAACACTGGTCCATCTAGGTCGGTACTGTCAACACTGGCTGGCAGCAGCACCTCGCCACGGTTTCAGGCAGGGAGCTTTTTCCCCAGCCCCACTTGGAGTTGCCATTGGGGGTTGGACCTGGAACCTTCTGCCTGAAAGGGAGATGCTGAACCAGTGAGAAACCAGCAAAGGAAGACCAGACTGGACACTGTTGCTTAAAGTTGAAGCTCTGCACACCTGGCAAAGAAAACATCATTTCACTCCTCCGTTCCCCGTTTCTTGTGGGTCTTGCCTTCTTAGTTGATAAAACCTAGGACGAGACCCTTCTCTCTCTCTTAAATCACTAAGAGACAATATTTGTCTGAAAAGCGGGGTGGAAATATAGCAAAGAAAATAACAGCTTTACAGTTGTTGTTGTTGTTGTTGTTGTTTAGTCGTTTAGTCGTGTCCGACTCTTCGTGACCCCCTGGACCAGAGCACGCCAGGCACTCCTGTCTTCCACTGCCTCCCGCAGTTTGGTCAAATTCATGCTGGTAGCTTTGAGAACACTGTCCCACCATCTCGTCCTCTGTCGTCCCCTTCTCCTTGTGCCCTCCATCTTTCCCAACATCAGGGTCTTTTCCAGGGAGTCTTCTCTTCTCATGAGGTGGCCAAAGTCTTGGAGCCTCAGCTTCAGGATCTGTCCTTCCAGTGAGCACTCAGGGCTAATTTCCTTCAGAATGGAGAGGTTTGATCTTCTTGCAGTCCATGGGACTCTCAAGAGTCTCATCCAGCACCAGAATTCAAAAGCATCCATTCTTCGGCGATCAGCATTCTTCATGGTCCAGCTCTCCCTTCCCTACATCCCTACTGGGAAAACCATGGCTTTAACTATACGGACTTTTGTTAGCAAGGTGATGTCTCTGCTTTTTAAGATGCTGTCTAGGCTTTACAGTTAGGTTCCTACTAACCACAGTTGGTCGGTGTTTCCACCAACCATGGTTTGAAGCTAACAATCTTCCGTTAGCAGTTCTTGCAAGTCATCCACATTTAAAGCAGGGTTCCCCAAACTTGGGTCTCCAGCTTTAGGACTACAACTCCCATCATCCCTAGCTAGCAGGACCAGTGGTCAGGGATGATGGGAACTGTAGTCCAAAAAACAGCTGAAGACCCGAGTTTGGGAAATCCTTATTTAAAGCATGCAGCCTCCCCTGCCACGAATCTTGGGAAGTATTGTTTGTTAAGTGTGCCAGGTACTGTAGCTCTGAAAGGTAGACTACATTTCCCATGATGATTTGGAGGGAGGGAAATGTGCTTTAAAAGGTTTGACCTGAGGCAATACCGCTTCCTTCCTCATTCCTCATTCCTTCCCTCCCGTCTTCTCCCCCTAAATTGACTATTGGGGGTGGCAGGGGAGAGCAAAAGAATTAAAAATAAAATAAAAAGAGAGTAGTGGCTTCACTTGTCAACCCAGCCAGCTGTATTTGCCCCCTGCCTTAGAATATCGCAAATTGAAAAAAGAAGCGAGGTATTTTAAAAATGAAAAAATAAAATAAAAAACCAGCTCCCTGCGGAAACTATTTTGCAGACAGTGAGCTGTCATTTCAACATCACCTCCCTTGGTAATTTAAAAGCACTTAAATGCTTTCTCCGTGCCGTCGGGCGTGAAGGAAGCCTTGCTCTTCGCAAACTAAATGGGGTTTCAGATGGGAAGGTAGCGAAGCGGGATGGGAAAGAAAAATTGTGGACTTTAGATTGGTGGGGGGTGGGAGAGAGGAAGCCCCCAAACCTATAACCTTGCCAAGCCCAGCCCAGAGGGCTATACTTAACGGGTGGCCGCAATCCGTTTTCATGCAAGGCTGGGTGTTGCTTTTTCCTCGCACGGAAAGTGCACGAAGGGCGAACTCCGCTGAATTTTGACGCGAAGGAAAGAGCAGCTTATTGGGCAGATGTTTACACACTCTGCCAGAGTTTCCCGAGTCAACCTTCCTTTGTTTTACAAGGTTTTCAAAAGGTTGCTTCCCAAGATAAATATCTTCACTGGCTGCCCATCAACTACCAAGCCACGCTGAGAGCGCTGGAAGAGGATTGGGCCAGTGGTCCATCTAGGCCAGCATTTTAAATTGCATGTTAATTTGTATTTTAAATTGTCTTTTTCTGTTTTCTTATTATGTTTTTACTGAAATTTTATTGATGTTTGCCGCCCTGAGCCCGGCTCTGGCCGGGGAGGATGGGATATAAATAAAAAAAATTATTATTATTATTATTAATTATTATTATTACTATTATTATTATTATTATTATTTCAGGCTGACCAGCAAGCAGGATTCGAACATAAGAGCCCTCTCCTCTCCTGTGGTTTCCAGAAACTGGTATTCAGAAGTATTTGCCGCCTCCGATTGAGGAACCAGAGGATAGCCATGGTGGCTAGTAGCCATCCATAGCATTTTCCTCCTCCAAACCTCATAGAATCACAGAATTGTGGAGTTGGAAGGGACCCTAGGGGTCATCTAGACCAACCCCCTGCAATGCATGAATCTCATCTAAAGCATCCATGACAAGATGGCTGCCCAACCTCTGCTTAAAAACCTCCAAGGAAGGAGAGTCCACCACCTCCCGAGGAAATCTGTTCCACCCCGTTTGAAGCCATCTAAGCTGGCGGCCATCCCAGTTTCCTGTGGCAGCGAGTTCCGTAGTTTAACTACACGCTCAACGCCATTGTATTAATTGACAAAGCCCTGAACAACTTAGATTCAGGGCACCTTAGGGACCACCTGACTCCTTGCATCGCGGCTCGATATCCAAGATCCTTTGTAGAAGCGATGCTGGCCACTCACTCTCTCTCTCTAACACACACACGTACACACCGTGCCGGCGAGGTTCCTCGGACAGCGACAAAAAACTGAGCCTTAACACAGAGTCCTGTGGAACACTCTGCCACCAGAGATTCAGCAGGAGCCTTCTGCTTTGACCTTTCAACGCCTGCTGAAAAACTTTTCTATGCCACCAGGCTTATGCAGGCTGGGGAACTGGGCCGCAAAACTCGGTCCCATTCATACAGAAGGTCTTACTCTCTGTGTAGTCTGCAACCCAGGCTGCAAAGGCTCCTGGATCCACTACATTTCAGTTCTTTTTTGCTTTCCACTGATGTATCTAATTCCAGATATTATTATTATTATTATGACAAACCTAGACAGCATCTTAAAAAGCAGAGACATCACCTTGCCAACAAAGGTCCGTATAGTTAAAGCTATGGTTTTCCCAGTATGGAAGTGAGAGCTGGACCATAAAGAAGGCTGATCGCCGAAGAATTGATGCTTTTGAATTCTGGTGCTGGAGGAGACTCTTGAGAGTCGCATGGACTGCAAGAAGATCAAACCTCTCTATTCTGAAGGAAATCAGCCCTGAGTGCTCACTGGAAGGACAGATCCTGAAGCTGAGGCTCCAAGACTTTGGCCACCTCATGAGAAGAGAAGACTCCCTGGAAAAGACCCTGATGTTGGGAAAGATGGAGGGCACAAGGAGAAGGGGGCGACAGAGGACGAGATGGTGGGACAGTGTTCTCGAAGCTACCAGCATGAGTTTGACCAAACTGCGGGAGGCAGTGGAAGACAGGAGTGCCTGGCATGCCCTGGTCCAGGGGGTCACGAAGAGTCGGATACGACTAAACAACAACAATTATTTTTTTATTATTATTATTATTATTATTATTATTATTATTATTATTATTATTAAAACTGACTTCATTCTAGACTTGCTAAAATGCAGGTTTTCACCTTCTTTGGATTCACTGATATGTTTTGCAAATCATTCTCCCTCTCCCCCCCCCCCGCAGCTTTCAAGCTGCCCCCCAAAATGGTAATAAATGGGTGTCTGTTGGAAGTTGCTCTGAACGCAGCTCACTATGGAAAGGCAGAATACAAACAAATTCACGATCAATTGATCAACCCAAAGCACAGCAGTGAGCATCAGCGATAAAGGCTTAAGAAGAACAGAGGAGAGAGAGTTGGGTGTTGTTCACCAGGAAAAGAAAACCGAGAGGAGATCTGAATAGTCATCTTCATATATTTGAAGGGCTCGCCCCGGGGAAGATGGAGCAAGCTTCTTTTCTGCTGCTCAGGAGGAGCAGGATCCGAACCGATGGCTTTTAAGTTATAAGAGATTCCAACTAGATTCCTACCTGCCCGCGGACTGTCTCGCCAGAGTGGTGCATGCTCCAGTTATCTCACGCTTGGACTACTGCAATGCGCTCTACGTGGGGCTACCTTTGAAGGTGACCCAGAAACTACAACTAATCCAGAATGCGGCAGCTAGACTGGTGACTGGGAGCAGCCACTGAGAGCATATAAGACCTACATATAAGACCTGAAAGACCTACATTGGCCCCCAATATGTTTCCAGGCACAATTCAAAGTGTTGGTGCTGACCTTGAAAGCCCTAAACGGCCTCGGCCCAGTAGACCTGAAGGAGCATCTCCACCCCCATCCTTCTACCTGGACACTGAGGTTCTGGCGGTTCCCTCCCTGCAAGAAATGAGGTTACAGGGAACCAGGCACAGGGCCTTCTTGGTAGTGGTGCCCGCCCTGTGGAACACCCTCCCATCAGACGTCAAGGAAATAAGCAACTGATTTTTATAAGACATCTGAAGGCAGCCCTGTTTAGGGAAGTTTTTCATGTTTGATGTTTTCTTGTATTTTTAATATTTTGTTGGAAACTGCCCAAAGTGGCTGGGGAAACCTAGCTGGATGGATGGGGTAAAAGTAAAGATAAAGGGACCCCTGACCATTAGGTCCAGTCGTGGCCGACTCTGGGGTTGCAGCGCTCATCTCGCTTTATTGGCCGAGTGAGCCGATGTACAGCTTCTGGGTCATGTGGCCAGCATGACTACGCCGCTTCTGGCGAACCAGAGCAGCGCACGGAAACACCATTTACCTTCCCGCCGGAGTGGTACCTATTTATCTACTTGCACTTTGAGGTGCTTTTGAACTGCTAGGTGGGCAGGAGCAGGGACTGAGCAACAGGAGCTCACCCCGTCGCGGGGATTCGAACCGGCGACCTTCTGATCAGCAAGTCCTAGGCTCTGTGGTTTAACCCACAGCGCCACTCGCGTCCCATGGGTGGCGTATAAATAATAAATTATTATTTTTATTAGGAAGAACGTCCTGACGGAAAGAGCTGTTTGACAGAGGAATGGACTCCCTTGGGAGGTGATGGGCTCTCCTTCCCTGAAGGTTTCTAAACAGAGGTTTGGTGGCCACCTGTTAGGGACTCTTCGGCTGAGATTGCAGCGGGTCTAGGTGACGCTTCCGCAGGTACCAGCAATCTCACCTTTTTGCAGTCTTGGCAAAAGACGGCCGTGCTCCCCAGCAGCCCCAGAGCCTCTCCGCAGAGCAGGCACTGAGATAAGCCATTGCCCATCACATTCTTCCGCATGTTCTCCAGTCGCTCCACCAGGCGCCTGCAAAACAAGAGCCTCCGTCAGGCTGCTGTCACAAGGCAGGGATTTCCAGAGGCTTCGTGACCCCACACATAGGGAGATGCCTTAGAGCTCCTCCCCCCCTGCAAATGAAGCAAGATTCTAGTCCTCATGGTTGCGAATTAAAGGCAGATTCAATTACGATAGAAACACAGCATGCTGCCTTCTGCTGAGCCAGACCATTGGTTCATCCAACTCAGTAGTGTCTGCACTGGTTGGCAGCCGCTCTCCAGGGTTCAGAATTTGCCGCTGTCCGATACGGATATCGAACCTGCAACCTTGGCGTTATCAGCACCATGCCGGGATTGAACCTGGGATGTTCTGCTATGATGGGCGAATCCGTCATTTTGGATTAACTCAGTTTGTCATTTCCCCCACTCTATCCTCCTCGTTTCCATGACAGTTTGTGAATTCGCCCCCCCCCCCAAACTCCTTGCAGAAGTTTCAACCAGCCTTTTATAGTGGGTATTTCTCCCAATATACAAAACTGAGCAAAGCAATTTCCCCTAGCATAGCACATTTTTTGCATGCTATTTTCATTTTAATGCACACTTTTGTCCTAATTTGCATGTTTATTGTTCTCACGTTTGGGCACTGCAAAATCCAGAGAACAGCGGGTTTCAAAAGGCTGACTGCGCTTCAGTTCATGTATTGTTTCAGAAAGTGCGAGACAAGCACGTCCGCTGTAAAACGCAAACGGAACAGAATTCCTCCCCCTCTTCGCTACCTTCACCCACAGCAAAATCCCCACCACGCTGTTCTGTGACAGTGGCAGTGAGTTCCACAGCTGTAAGAACATTCATCTGCGTCATCCTTGACAGCTTCGCCATGTGGATCTTAACCTATTATTTTATTTCCTGCATAAAAATTATACATCATTTGTTTTCGTTTAAAAAAACACCAAAGCGATGATTGGTAAAAACATTTAAAATGTTCAGGTCATTAAAACCAGCAATAAACTTAAAATACATTGGCATTCTAGATACCCAAGTGGGCTTGTCCAGACAAAAATGTTTATAGCAAACCAAATTCTGCCATTTCCTTCAGGTCATACTCTAGCACCAGGGCAGGGAAGTCTCAGGCCCCAGTGGGACTGGATGTGGCCCTCCATACTTTTCTATCTGGCCCTCAGATCTCTCCCAAGCCACACCCCTTCTCCCCAACCCATGCCTCTCCCCAATCCTGCCTTAAGTGTTTTCGGGGGGCTGACATTATGGAATTCTGATAATGCTCACGCTTGCCCGAATGGCAGAGAATTTTCCCGGGGGCCAGGCAAAGAGTCCCAGAGGGCCACCCACATGGCCCGTGGGCTCAAGCTTTCCCTGTCCCTGCTATAAGCCATCACAACAGTCGCCCAACCCTAGAAGGGATTTTTAAATCACCGACAATTTTCCAGCTCACCTTGCCCAGGCTGAGGGAAAACCCAAACTCTGCTTATTTCGCCCAGATTCCTCTGCCTGTTTTTTTCTTTCTTCCCCTCACCACATGCCTTTTTAAAAGAAAGGTTTCCAAATCCACTGGGCTCAGAGATTTATGACTCAGAAAAATAGGAATCTGCTGGGCCCAGAAACACACGGTTGAGAAGATCAGAAAATATCTCCAGTTGGAAGGCATAAACAACCAAATATATGGGTTTTTGGAGCGGGAGAAGGAAAGGGGCCTTTGTCGTCAATGAGCTAATAGCTCCAGCTAAGAAACTGTTCAGCTGGAATTTGCCAAGGAGGAGAGCCTAAGCCAGTTCATCACCTCAGGCAAAAAAAAACCCCACTTCCCAGGGAATTGTGGGGTAATGAAGGGAAAGATGTCGAGAAACAACAGTGGCGTGTTGGCTGTGCCGTGCTGACTGGAGCGCTGAGCCCAGCGTGCTCTAAAGATCTTTCGACAACAGGCCTCGCAGCGTCCAGCTATTAAGGCCTCATTTGCTTCGGGAAATGCCAGCCAGGCAGCTGCGGTTCTGAAAACGGCAACTGCAGGACCTTTTCCTTTTCAAAAAGCAGAGCATTAAGACCGCCACCAGCTAATGGGCCTCTTCAATCAGCTCTGCGAGGTGGAGGAAGAAGCCATTTCTGGGCTGGGCCGCCCATTTTACAGCACGGCGAGGAGCGAGGGGAAGCTTTTTCAGCCCCATAGGAAGGGCCGTCTTACCTATAGGCGCTAGGGGCCTCTCAGGGGCACCAGGCTGAGAGTCCGGGGCCCGAGAGTTGAGTCCTGGGAAGAGCTCGCCCGTCGGTCGGAGCGCCACAGCGGGCTCTTCTGCTGCGGGCGACTCTGTGTCGCGAGTTCGGGGGCAACCAAGCCAGCAAGATGCTGAGGCAGCCGGTCGGGGGTGCACCTGGGACTGGGCAACCGGAGGGGGGGCATCGGGCGGATCTTTACACGCCGACGCCACATATGCTTAAGACAGCCCTGCCCATAGGGCAACCTTCCAGGGGCTGCATGTTGGAAGGGGCCACTGGCAAAAACTGGATGAGACCCTACCTGCCCGCAGACTGTCTCACCAGAGTGGTGCATGCTCTAGTTATCTCCCGCTTGGACTACTGCAATGCGCTCTACGTGGGGCTACCTTTGAAGGTGACTCGGGAACTGCAATTAATCCAGAATGCGGCAGCTAGACTGGTGACTGGGAGTGGCCGCCAGGACCACATAACACCGGTCCTGAGAGATCTGCATTGGCTCGCAGTATGTTTCCGAGCACAATTCAAACTGTTGGTGCTGACCTTTAAAGCCCTAAACGGCCTTGGTCCTGTATCCCTGAAGGAGCGTCTCCACCCCCATGGTCCAGCCCAGACACTGAGGTCCAGCTTCAAGGAGGGACTTTTGGCGGTTCCCTCCCTGCGAGAAATGAGGTTACAGGGAACCAGGCAGAGGGCCTTCTCGGTGGTGGCACCCTGCCCTGTGGAACACCCTCCCAGCAGATGTCAAGGCAATAAACAACTGTTTTACTTTTAAAAGCCATCTGAAGGCTGCCCTGTTTAGGGAAGTTTTTAATGTACGATGCTGTATTGTTTTTAATATTCGGTTGGAAGCCGCCCAGAGTGGCTGGGGAAACCCAGCCAGATGGGTGAGGTATAAATAATAAATTATTCTTCTTATAAATAATAAATAAATAAAAATAATAATTTAGTATTCTTATAAATAATAAATTATTATTCTTTATTATTATTATTATTATTATTATTATTATTGAGCAATGGAGGCCTCTTTTGCCTCTGTCCATCAAGGCAAGTAAAAGGCGTTACCAGAATTCAGGGACAAATCCCAGCCAGGCAGAAACCCTTGAGAGGGGTTTGAATCAGGGCTGGTGGGAGGCGTGGCCTAGAGAAAAGGGGGTGTGGCTGAGGAGAGGGGGTGTGGCCAGGGCAGAGCTACAAGGACCTGGAGAGACCAAGGGTTGAGCCCGAGGCCTTCTGAATGCCACCATGTGCAGACAGATATATCTGTTTATCTGATGAGGCAGCTGCAAAGGAGAAGACACCAAAGGGATTTATCCCTTTGGGGGTTTTCACTTCGGGGTATGATGAGGGCAAGGGCACCCACCTTGGGGCAATCATTCGTGGGTGGGCTTGCTATGAGGCGAGCGGCTGGAGCAGCCGGTTGGAGGGCAGAATGTGGAACAAGCTGGGTTATGTGAGATCCAGAACGCTCCAGAGCCAAGCATGACTGCAGCTCAATAATAATAATAATAATAATAATAATAATAATAATTTTTATTTAAAGATGCATTATTAAGTGGGACGGGCAGTTCATCTGGCGATGTCGCTATTTTATATGGCTTTTCCCAATCTACTCTTTTCGCTGCAGTTCTGTATTTCCTTTCTTGCGTTTGTCTTTTGCACGGATATTCCGTTCGCCGCTTTGGTGGGTCCTTGATCCCCAAAGCGGTATATATATAAACAAACCAACCATACCCATCTCTCGGAGTGGTTTGGAATCTGATTTGCATTCAGAAGGTCCCAGGTTCGAATCCCGGTATCTCCAGGTAAGGAAAGGAGAGACCCTTGTCTGGAAACCAGGAGAGCCACTGCCGTTAAAGAGGTTTGAGAAAATTCTGAGTGGTGTGAGGAAACAGGAGAAGGCAGCTAAGCCACAGAGGACACGCTCCTATCAACATTTCCAGAGAGAGATATTGGAGGAGGGCTGCAGGTCAGTGACAGAGCAATCGGTTTGCATGCAGAAGGTCTTAGGTTCAATCCTGACACCATCAGGCAGGCCTGGGGGAGACTCCAGTCCAAAAGCCTGAAGAGCCTCTGCCAGCCAGTGTAGACAACACAGATCTAGATAGCCCCATGGTCCGACTCAGTATAAGTTAGCTTCCTATGTTGCCATTCAGAACCATGAGGTCTAGCACCTTGCCTTATTTGTAGGGGAAGAACTGGTACTGAGGGTCAAGCATCTGTGCAACTGCCCTGGGTTCAACGACTGGTGGCTCATGGCAGGGCCCTTGCTAGAAACCCTGAGAAGCTGCTGCCAGTCCGTGCAGACAGCACTGGACTAGAAGGCTCAAGGGTCTGGTGCGGTGTTAAGGCACCTTCTTAAGAAATGAGAAACCCTCAGGTCTACAGGAAGGTGCCGGCAACCGTACCCAATCCTCTGCTGTTCAACAACGTCCAGTTTCTCCGCCCGGCGGACGACTTCTAGGATGACTTCCATCTCCTTGGCGTTCAGCGCCTGCGTCTTCCTCTGCCGGTTGCTTTGGAACGTGTGCACCGACCAGCCCGTCTGAAGCCTGGAAGGAAAGGAATTCAGAGGAGGGGGAGAGAAAGAAGAGCTTCGTCACAAAGCAGGGGTATTGATTTAAAAAATAATAATAATACACGTAACGGTTACACATTTAGGAAAATCAAACAATCTGAGCGTCATCTCCGAGCACACCAACAGAACTTCGTCAAAGTATATACGCTAAAACCATCACAATCTTAACAAACACGAAATAATCCGTACTAACAGCCGTTGCATCGCTTTCTTTTTGGAAAAAAAAGTTTTAAAAAACCAAATCCGCCTGCCGTGCTTTAAAATCAATACACTCAAGTTAGGTGGTTTGCTTGCTTATTTCTTTTTATTAAATCTCTACGGCACACTTCTTCTGAGGATCATGGGGAGGTTTACATAAAAGCACAAAAAAACAGACCAAAGTAACAAACGATAACACACACACACACACACACACACACACACCATAGCTGTCAATTTACAGATTTGAAAATAAGGGACCAGCAGCCTTGAAAATAAGGGACCAGCAGCCAAAATGAGGGACCTGCAGCCTCACCTGTTCCAGGCACTCCAGTCTTCCTGTCCTCCTGCAGTCTGCTCAAACTCATGCTGGTAGCTTCGAGAACACTGTCCAACCAACTTTGTAACCAGAGGTTCAACTGAATAGAATCTGAATCACATGCACCACAAGGCCTATGCAGCCTCAACTTAAGATGGCTCCCCGGCCTGGCTTTGTACTGCAAAGTTTGCAGCAGCACGTGCAACAAAATGGCGTCCAGCATTCAAAAAACCCCTCAGCAGTGGAGGAGAATCTGTGCTCTAGGTGGGGCTACCTTTGAAGGTGACCTGGAAACTACAACCAATCCAGAATGCGGCAGCTTGACTGATGACTGGGAGCGGCCGCCGAGACCACAAAACACCGGTCTTGAAAGACCTACACTGGCTCCCAGTACATTTCCGAGCACAATTCAAAGTGTTGGTGCTGACCTTGAAAGCCCTAAATGGCCTCGGTCCAGTATATCTGAAGGAGCGTCTCCTCCCCCATCGTTCTACCCAGACACTGATGTTCTGGTGGTTCCCTCCCTGCGAGAAATGAGGTTACCGGGAACAAGGCAGAGGGCCTTCTCGGTAGTGGCGCCCTCCCTATGGAACGCCCTCCCACCAGATGTCAAAGAGAACAACTACTACCAGACTTTTAGAAGATATCTGAAGGCAGCCCTGTTTAGGGAAGCTTTTAATGTTTGATGTGTTACAGTATTTTAATATTTTTTTGGAAACCGCCCAGAGTGGCTGGGGAAGCCCAGCCACATGGGCGGGGTATAAATAATAAATTATTATTATTATTATTATTATTATTATTATTATTATTATTACATGCAAAATGTCCCCGGTTCAATCCCCAGGGTCTCCAAATGGGGTGGGAGTGTCCCCCCCTGACTGAAACCCAGGAGAGCTGCTGCCGGCCAGTGTGGGCAATAGATGGACCCATGGGTCTAACTCAGCACAAGGCAGTTTCCTAAGCAAACTGAAGACAGGGATCCAAAGGGATGAAATACTACCCCACTGCCACGAAATAACAAGACAGTAACAAATCGCTCGCAGTAAAAACATCACAGGAGGGCCGGGTGGAGGGGGAACGACTTGGACAGGAAGGTTTAATTAAAAAAAAAAATAGAACTAAGAAAATAAATCCAAGCAATCCCATTTTTAATCTTCAATTTTACAACCTTCCGGGAAGCCAAGCAGGGCACGTATAAGGCAATCAAACCCACACACGATTGGTAGACTCATGTCAATATTGAGCAGTATTTGTCCAGCACACTGACACCTTCCTGTGTGATTTAATTTCCACATGGAAGGAAGTGGGTGGGGGTGGGGGTGGCAGAGATCAACCCAGCCTGTTCCAGCCCCCGATGAAGAAGGACATGGCTCAGCCGCGAATTGTGGGCAGAGGGTGAATCCCCTGCCTCCTCCATCACTTCTCATTTCCATACCCTGCCTCTAACCAATGGGCAGGATGAAGGGGTTGCCAAACATCCTCCGCCCCATAGGGCTAACCTGAAGACTCCAGGTGTGCCTGCCCTTCAGGTAGAGGCGGCAGGTGGCGGGGATGTAAATCTCCAGGTGGGCAAGCGCAGCTCCCCTACCCAGGCTCCCTAACCAGGTGAGAAGGAATGGTCCCCCCATTCAGCTGGACTTGAGAACACCCCCTTTAGCTAATGCTTCGCTCTTGATTTCCACCCAGTATTGACTCAGATCCTGAAGCTGAGGCTCCAAGACTTTGGCCACCTCATGAGAAGAGAAGACTCCCTGGAAAAGACCCTGATGTTGGGAAAGATGGAGGGCACAAGGAGAAGGGGACGACAGAGGACGAGATGGTGGGACAGTGTTCTCGAAGCTAACAGCATGAGTTTGACCAAACTGCGGGAGGCTGTGGAAGACAGGAGTGCCTGGCCTGCTCTGGTCCAGGGGGTCACGAAGAGTCGGACATGACTAAACGACTCAACAACAAATTGACTCATTTGAGTCTCTCTGTTTTCGTTTCGTTTTTTTGAATGACAGGCTCTCCGCAGTTGCGCTGCGCTTAACGGACATTCCCAGGGCCCACCCTTATGACATCACTGGCTCCACCTCCTCTGACATCACCAGGGCCCACCCCTAAGTCTCAAGTCTAGGCTCTGAAATCTCAGGGTCTGGGATGTCGGAAGTTATTTAATCAACGTTACATAAAACGGTGCACCGTTGAAATTGCATTGCATTTAAATTACGGTGCAGAATGTACGGACAAATTGGCAGAAGGCTTGTATTTTTCCATCGCAGTGTTGGGGTGGGCCAAGCTTATAACTGAGTCACAGGTTTTCAGAGTGTTTGCTTATGCTGTTGAAGGTAGCCCGGACCACTCCAGAGTCATGTGCTGTTTTCCCAAGCGCACACAGATCTCCTTGGGCGTTGGCCAAGATGCAAGCAAGCTGGAAAAAGAGGGGGGGACAGAGATCTTCTGGGGGTTATTTTTTAAGCTGAAAAAGCTGGTTTTTAGCAAAGATATGTCCTCGAGCCTTATACTGGGATTAAGTATAGGTAATGATGGAAATATATGAGACAATGCATCGTTTGTTTTGTAACGTTTAAATGAAGTTTCTGCAAGCAGAACTTCAGAACTTCATATTTTTGTGATGAGAATTCATTTCCACACAATACGCCAGATCTGAGAGAGGGTCCAAATTTTTTCGTTTACTGCTCTGTCTACTTTGGCCTCTGGCCATCATGTCCCTTAAGCTGCCCTTGAAATAGAGTGGTACCTTGGGTTAAGGACTTGATTCGTTCCAAAGGTCGGTTCTTAACCTGAAACTGTTCTTAACCTGAAACACCACTTTAGCTAATGGGGCCTCCTGCTGCTGCCGTGCCACCGGAGCACGATTTCTGTTCTTATCCTGAAGCAAAGTTCTTAACCTGAAGCACTATTTCTGGGTTAGCGGAGTCTGTAACCTGAAGCGTATGTAACCCGAGGTACCACTGTACTCACAAATGAGCGTTTTTTTGGAATCAGCAGCTAATATTGGCAGGCAGTTCTATTTATTTGTTGTTGTTTTTTAAAAAAGGGTTATCACAGCATCAGCATAAAAAGGATATCCCCCCCAGTAGGAAATTGCCCCAGCGTGGGGTGAAAAAGAGAGAGACATACTTGGCCCGCAAGGCTAGCTGCCTGTCATTGGGGCAGACCCACTGGTCGTTCCCGTTGCCAAAGATTGTATCGGCCATGGCGAGAAACCACGCAGGGCAGACGGCGACATCAAACCTGGAGGAAAACAGGGGTGTGTGAAATATATTAAATGAAATTTCAAAGGGAAACAGTTAAAACACTAAAGCCAGCAATAAACTAAAAAAAACCACTAGCATTCTAGATATCTGGGTAGGCTTGTCTGAACAAAAATGTTTTTAGCAAGCGCCGAAAAGAGTACAGTGAAGGCACCTGCCTGAAGTCAATAGGCAGGGAGTTCCAAAGGGCTAAAAGACCAATTTCTTACTGGAATGAGTATTATGTAGCACCCATAACCATGCCAGTTCCAATGAGTAATGGTGCTTTGCTTTCATAATATTATTATTATTATTTCAACAAAGATAACAAAAATAAAAAACAAACAAACAACAAATTATACAAAAGCAATATCAAATCCATAAAATGGGATTCTCCAAATCTCCTCCCCTCTTCTTCAACTGCATTATCATTTCTACTCCAAATTATTTATACTATTTCTACAATTACAAATGTACTTTAAATCCTGCCAGTGTATGAACCTGTTTACAATACTTTTGTAAATACATAATAAACATTTCCCATTTCTCATCATCTTCATTTCTGAGCTTTCCAGTTCATTTAGCCATTTCAGCATAGTCCATTAACAGTTTGCCAATCTTCTCTGGTTGGGACGGCTTCCTCTTTCCACCTTTGGGCTACCCAGTGAGTAATGGTGCTTTGGATGTGAAATGACAGTCCCGAGTTCTGAGCCCAGGCTTGTTTTTCCTGCGTATGGTTTCTTTTCAGGAGGAGGCTTATATGTAAAGTCAATTAAAAATGATATTAAAATACCAAATAATGGGGCAAAACAGGAATCGGCTGTTGCCCTTCCGCCCTGCTTCCTAGAGGCTTCTGACTGGCTGGTTTTGCCAGTGGCAGAACCACTGGCCAGCTTTTCCGGCAGCATCCTGATTCCCTTTTTAAAAAACCCCTAGCATCTTTTAACCAGAAAACCCAGCAAAAGGACAGATGCAGGGAAACAAATGAGCACCCGCCTCAACACACACACCCTTAAAAACAGCAGGCAGGCCAGAGCCGTCAACATAATATGTCCCCATTCAGCAGTTAGGAAGGTGCATACATTCAATATTTGACTTTGTCGAGGGTGACATTTGCAAGCAGAGTATAGAAAGAGAGATTTGCGGATCCACTCTTTAAAAATAAAAGAGGCCGACAGAGAATCTAAGCCCCAGGCGTCGGAATCATCCCTTGAAAAGAAGTTTAGCGCTAGCTGATAAAGCAACATATAAATTATGTGTTGCCAAAGGCTTAGAAGATCCGGAAAAATTCTGTGCTTTTTGGTGGGAAACAACAAACACAGACATACGGAACTCCCTCTCCACACCGCAGCATTAAATTTGGCTTTTCTGATGTTCATAAGTACAGTGGTACCTCGGGTTAAGATCTTAATTCGTTCCGGAGGTCCGTTCTTAACCTGAAACTGTTCTTAACCTGAGGTACCACTTTAGGTAATGGGGCCTCCTGCTGCCGCCGCGCAATTTCTGTTCTCATCCTGAAGCAAAGTTCTTAACCCAAGGTACTATTTCTGGGTTAGCGGAGTCTGTAACCTGAAGCATCTGTAACCTGAGGTACCACTGTACTCTGCTTACCTCATTCAAGTCTCTTCCAGATATACTGCACTGCTTTTTTCTTTTTGTGCTTCTGTTATTTGAATTGACATACTTCAATAAAAAGGGGGGAGAAAATTTGCAAGCAGGGTATAAATAGAGATATTTGCAGATCTGATTTTACACACACACACATGCACACGCACACACACACACACACACACACACACAGGCAGGGAAAGAATCTAAGCCTCAAGCGTCAAAATTATTCCTTGGAAAGAAAAATTTCCTATCCTCCAAACCGAGCCAGGAAAGACACAACACTTGGGATCAGTTTCCGTAAATATTGATTCCTCGAGATCCCAAATGCAGAGCCAGCCCACCCCCAGCTGTCTCTTTTTGCCCACGAGGCTCCCGCCAGAGACCGATAGCGACGGCACAGGTGGCTTGGCCTTGGCTCCATATCACACAGAAGCATATTTGCCCGCCTGCTGCATTCCCAGAGGGAAGAGGCAGCGCATGGCAAAAACACACAGAAACAAAACAAACAAAGGAAAACCCAGCTGCCGGTTCTGGACCTGGAGCGCATAAAGTACAACCGCACCTGACACACGTTTAACTCGCAGTGATTTCAACTGTATACGCGGCTGAGGGCAGGCTCCTCAAAACTGTGCAAATTCAATCCAAGCAAAGCGGAGACTCAAAAGCTCTTTTTGCAGCAGGTGTGCTTAAGGTTTCTGTGGCAGAAAGGATTTCTAAGGCTTCCCCTTGCTTGGAAGAGCAAGAGGGAGAATTTAAAGTCTATTTTCGCATTGGGTCGGCTTGGGTAACCTAGTAGGAAAAGAGCTTTTAAGCCAGGCATAGGCAAACTCAACCCTCCAGATGTTTTGAGACTACAGCTCCCATCATCCCTGACCACTGGTCATGTTAGCTAGGGATGATGGGAGTTGTAGTCCCAAAACATCTGGAGGGTTGAGTTTGCCTACGTCTGTTTTAAGCGCTCCACCTTGCTTCCTGGATAGGGGCCACTCTGAGCACAACTGCTGGGATTTCTTTCTCTCTTTCCCTTACCTGCTCGTAGCTGTGGGACGGCCCCAAGAGTTTGGATATATGCAATTTTGTGCATGTGCACGCAGTAATTTTAAAGGCATATACTGGGGTTAAGTGACGGTCCATTTTAGAGCCTGTCGAATCTCCGGCAAGCCTCTGACTACAATTTGCTTTTACCGAGCTACGTTTTCAAGCTATGCCGTCCGCCGTCCCGTGAGGATGATACAACAGGGTGCCATACAGAGACAGACTCTGTGGGCAAGCACAGATGGAAGACATATTGCATTACAGTCATACCTTGGACCTCGAACGCCTTGGATCCCGAAGAAATCAGCTCCCAAACAATCAAAACCCGGAAGTGGGTGTTCCAGTTTTTTGAACAATTTTTGGAAGCCGAACGTCTGATGGGGTTTCTGTGACTTCCAATTGGCTGCAGGAGCTTCCTTGCAGCCAATCAGAAGCCGCGCTTTGGTTTTTGAACGTTCTGGAAGTCGAACGGACCTACGGAACGGATTCCGTTCAACTTCCAAGGTACGACTGTATTTACTGTATTGCTCACTATTCACTGGACCCAGGAAGCGATTTCTCACCCTACCATCCATTCGGGAAAGACGTCTCTCCCTGGCAGAGAAGGTCCCATGACTTCCTAAGATGATTTCGGTGACTCATAAAGTCGCCGTTTTTGCCTTGGTGGCCAAAATGATCAGAAAGAAGACCCTGGGCAATATAGCCGTGAATTGTAAGGGAGACGCAGAGATCTAAATAGAGACCATTATTTGTGGCACAACAGCCCTTTTGTCCGTATTTATTTTTGATTCAGATTTGTCATGGCCAATGGCTAGTACAACAAACTTATTTGGATTGGACTGGGGTAACGTTTGTGTTAAAAAAATGCATACTATTGCATGTCTCTCCCTCACTCTCCAAGGACCAAGAGACTCCAGGGGTTACGATCTTACCCAGGATTCAGTTTCCTTGGAATGAAGGTCAGCGGAGACAGTGGGGTCTTTCAGTTATATGGTTTTATTTACACATCTATACAGCCCGAGTATAGTTTGGAGAGAGGCTCACAGCATTAACACCCCGACAGAGCTGGCTTCCCCATTCCATTGCCAGGGGAACCTCAAAAGTCCAGGACAGAGCTAAACCTGCCTCTGTTTCCCCAGTATCTTTCCCCTCCCCTTCCAGCTTCCGATATTCAGAAGTATTAATGTCTCTGACTGTAGAGGCAGAGCAGAACCACAGTGGTTTGTTGTTTAGTCGTGTCTGCCTCTTCGTGACCCCATGGACCAGAGCACGCCAGGCACTCCTGTCTTACACTGCCTCCTGCAGTTTGGTCAAACTCATGCTGGCAGCTTCGAGAACACCGTCCAACCATCTCGTCCTCTGTCGTCCCCTTCTCCTTGCGCCCTCCATCTTTCCCAACATCAGGGTCTTTTCCAGGGAGTCTTCTCTTCTCATGAGGTGGCCAAAGTATTGGAGCCTCAACTTCAGGATCTGTCCTTCTAATGAGCACTCAGGGATGATTTCCTTCAGAATGGATCGGTTTGATCTTCTTGCAGTCCACGGGACTCTCAAGAGTCTCCTCCAGCACCATAATTCAAAAGCATCAATTCTTCGGCGATCAGCCTTCTTGATGGTCCAGCTCTCACTTCCATACATCACTACTGGGAAAACCATTGCTTTAAGTATACGGACCTTTGTTGGCAAGGTGATGTCTCTGCTTATTAAGATGCTGTCTAGGTTTTTCATTAGTCCTCCATCAACTTGTCTAATCATCTTTTAAAGCCATCCAACTTGGAGGCCATCCCTGCCTCCTGTGGCAGTGAGTTCCAAAGGTTAACAATGTGCCGCTAGGAGAAGAGGAGCAGCTTGACTTGCTCCAGCCCCCTTGAGCATGACGGCTGCCCTTTTCTGAACCTTTTTCCACTAGACAATATCCTTTCTGAAGCAAGGCAACCAGAACTGGACACGGTATTCCTCTTTACCCAGGCGTTCAGTGGCTGAAGACTTTTCTGGCCCTGGAAAATCCCTTGATCACAGGGCGGAAGAAGGTTTTTAACCAAAAAACTGCTTTTAATAGATAATGTTTTGATCTGTTTTTGCTTTGTTTTCATTCTTTTTCTAAATTCCGCATCTGCCTGCCACCGTGGTCTCCTTGGAAAGGAAGGTCACGGTGTAAATTCAGTCGGTAATGAATTATTATTGTCGCAAAAATCAACTCTCAATGGAAATCCAAAAATGAAGAAGTGAAACTAGAATTCATGGCACTTGGCTGCGTGTCCCAAACCAGCCACCATCCTTCGCCCATCTGTTTCAAGGCAGCTCTGTACAAACAGGGTCAGGTGACATCACTGTGTTTCCTTAACCTGCTGAACTTGA